CTTGCAGTTGCTTGACTAGCTGGGTCGTATGCTTTGATATGTTCTCCATCGAGCCAAATAGGCTCGTGTGAACATCAATAGCCTCACCAAGAGCCAAGATGCTGTGAAATGGCAATGTGCCATCTTCCACGCCATCGTGAATACTGTATTTAATTTTGAGTCCATCTTCTTCAGAAGTGGCAAGACTGCTAGCCGATTCGAGCCCCTTAGACTTATGCCATGAACCTCCTAAGGCACTTACCATCGTGACAGTGCCACCGCCAAAATACTTTCGCAGTGTGAGAATATGACCTGAGTCCTTACGGACGATCAGAGCTCCGAGGTCTGGAAACCCGAAAATCTTGTAAAAAGAGACGCAAGTAAAATCAGGGGCTAGATCAACATCTCTAAATACATGCTTCAGCGGACTAGTCACCGCAAGTGCCGCCGAGTCTAGTAGACTGTATGTGTTCTTCAACGGTGTAGAGTGACGTAGACGTCCCGTCCAGGATAGGGGAAGTCTTCGTCCTGACAGGTTGGACTGGCCTGGGTAAGCGAATAAGCCAAGTCCCCTGGAGTGACCACGACGAATGTGAGCCGAAGACCGTAAGCGGTTGCTCAGCCAGTTGTCAACCTCTTCGTCACTTCCAAAGCAATAAGCATCTCCGTTGGTGAGCTCGCGCACTCCTACGAGACTTGTGTGAGAGTCTTTATGGTATCCAAACCAGAAGGAGTTACTTCTGGTTTTCTCGGCTAGGTCTCTGAAACTCTCAGCAACGAGCTTTATGGCCGCGGTAGCGTTGGCCACGAAGATTAGGTCAAAGTGTTGCGGATCAGCGCCGAAAAACCTCATTGCTTTCTCTCTTATCGTGTCCACTACCTCACCTGAGAGCTTCGCTGGTTGGTTTGCCGAGTGAGGATTTCCATATAAGTGACCAGCAAGCTTATCAGAAAACGCCTTGATAAGTGACTGAGCGTAGATTGTGCTTCCACCATGATCAAGGTATGTTCCTTTATTGCGTTAAAGATTGATTTTTCAAGTGAAGCGACATAAGCTTACCTTGATTCATATGTGGATACTCCCGAGCTCTGATAATCTCGACTCTCTCCGGGTAGTGTGACGGCGGCTCTTTATCTTTTTGTATGTGATTAACTGTGAGGTGATTTAGTATGACATGAGTAAGAATCTCCTTCTCAGCGTAATCTACAATATAATAGAGATGACAATGTCACTCAAGCATAAAGGGTCAACAATAGAGTAGTAAAGTGGACTTGCCTGATGAATAACCGAAGGATCGATGTACCTGCAGTTTTGATGTGTGCCATCCGCTGTGCTTGATTCCTCCCGAGGCTCTTGTTCCTGAAGACACACAGTGTCTCGAGAGCATGCTTTCTTCTACGTACGATCACTAAAGCACGCGCTCGTTGAAATCTTTCTCAAGTTTTACAACTTGTACGAGGCTTGTTGGCCAAATACTGCCCAAACGTCTGGGTCTTTGAATGTTCTTATCATAATCACGATGGTAGACAAGTTCTGACTATCTATCGCTACGTCCGTAGGCAAAGCATCTAATCCAGCCTACCCAGAACCAAAATTCCACTATTCCGCGAAAAGATTTCCCCTCACTTCAGAGTGAGGTCCACAAAGATAGTAGAGAGGCGGCGCCACTTCGAGTCTAACCGGTTTATGGACTACGGCTTCTTTTGAGGAAACGATGGACGCTTTAGACATGAGCTGGACAGACTACTTCAAGGCATCGTGATGTATGGTTGCATATGCCTCGCCTGTCCTCGGCCACTATTCGCCAATAAACAGTCCCGGCATCTCGGCCGCAGGAGTGTGTGTCCACTCGATCTATAGTGCTTACCTTGATGGAATCCACCGGGATGATGACTCTATTTCCGCATCAAACGGAACGTTCCTTCCATAGACAAAGCTAGGATTGAGGACCCTTACAACTATACACCGTTTTTGCTTGAGAGAACTCTCTTGTTTAAGGACCTGAATGTTTTGGGGATCTCTTTAATCGTCTCATGGTATAGCAGGCTTAAACTATCACGAGTCCGAGTTGGATGGTAGCATCTGCAGGTTAGTCCGACTTAGTTCGGATCATCCCTCTTCCGCAAGAGAGTGCAGCAGAAATGCATGAACTTATCTGCACGTCACCGGTGAAGTAAAGCGCGATTGCCTGGCACCCGCACCTGCAGATCAAATCTGCATCGGGATTCGAAGGATCACGGCAAACGTGTGAACGACGCAGTTTGCCGTCAGGTCTTTCCGGATCAAGCTGCGCGTATCTGTCAAGACTGCCTAATTTCCTGATATGATGCCGCAGCTGCGCAATGAAGTCTGAATTTGTCACAAGAATTCTTCACTAATAGATCTCCATATGGCCCAGGCTAAACCCAGGAAAGGTCCCTTGAATAGTTCCTGGGGAGGATTCGGGTCTCTATCCCCACTTCCGTTGGACCAATAAGATCAGTTTATACGATCTGGGAGACCTGCACTTCCTCACAACTAAATGCGATGACACCCTCAGTATCGATTAGTGATAAGTGTGCTTACCAATGGTAGTTGCTGATTAAGGCCCGTCCTTACCTTCTTTATACTCTGGAGTGTATTAATCTTGAGAAAACGTTTGGAAGGCTATCGCCTGATCCATCTTTTGAAACGTAAGATGATGTAAAAGATGGATATTATAAGACTTGTCCGACGCTTCATCCCATCAACTGTTGAAAATCCACCAGCTGGCGTACATAAAATGAGTGGTAAGAACTAAAGCACTTATGAAGGCGAGGCTCTGTAATACGTGTGGCTAGGGTCATATGCAGTGCTCCAACCTTAGACCACGGGCATCAGTCGCCTCCACATTCCGGCACTCGCTGGCGCTGATCGTCAACGGCGAGTTCCGTTGAAAATACCTGTCGAAAGGAGAAATCTAGTCATATTCGCTCACTCTAGCTAGATGTAATACTGAAAAATACCCTCCGCAATCGGCTTCCCGGTTGCCTTATCTGTCTACGCCAACGCTAATGCCTCTGTGTAGAGCATCAAATCGGAAGCTGCAGGTGAACGCGGCATATATGCGGTTTCACAACCTGCTGTATGTAGTATGGTTCGCAGCGTTCTTTGGCAGAGGCCGATTCTGTAGGTTAGCAGAGGTGAATGCAGACAATTCACATGACAGTAGTCATGGCTTGATGCTGATGACGAGGTTGACTAAGTGGCGCTACGCATGAGGCTTACAGCTGATAGCAGTGCAACGAATAGGATCATTCAATGGCTGTAATTTGAACCGACTCTCGGGTACCAACACATTTGACTCGACTCCAAGGGCTTGGGTTCGGCGTCCATTCTTGAGCTGATGCGGTCAGGATCGTTGCCGTCTTGCAGTCACCGAAAATTGCCCAATACTGCTCGTCATCTTGTGACTCGATGCTCGCTTGATCTTGCTGCTGCACTTCAGACTAAAGCAGCAAAGAATGATTCAAACTTCCTCTAGACTTCTGATGTTGTGAAGTAAGAGTAGACGTCTGAGTAAGGCCGGCGCCGTTAAGTGGGGGCCCGTTCCTTCCCGCCGCCCCGGTCCCGGTTCCACTTACTCGATCTGTCACCAATCCACATTCTAATTGGCTGTCCGGTAGGACATATTGAGCCCATCCACATTCTGTGTTCCTAACACATTGCTCATGGTAGGGCAACTAACACATCAAGTAGAGTGTATTGCCAAACTATTAGTGGGTTAGAAAGACTCGTATTATCTCATAGCGACGTCTTAGAGTATCCATTCTTGGATGTGTGATAATGTACTGGGCGCCACCGACTGGGAAGCGGTATAGTCCATGTCATTGAAGACTGGCGCTTTCTCAAGTAGTTACAGTGTGAAGAGGCTCCCACACAGCTTTCTCACAGATGGCAAACCTCTCTGGGAAATTACACTTTGTCAACTAGTCTCACGATTCTGCGGTTTAGCCACCCACGTAAGCAACACCGCAAGAACATGATCCGACCCAGAACTGCCTCTCAACATTATGCAAATCCAAAGACGCATCCAAACCCCACGCACACACACTCCCTCATGGTGCGCCACCACTCTTTCCAGACTCTCCAAACCCCAATATGTAAAATTATTTGACCATAAAGATACAATGGGAGGCCCCTCGTGCTCGGAGCACGGGTGACTTCGTCATCCGAGACGGGGCCTGCAACATGAAACGTCGAGTCTTGGCATCAGAACCCGTCCGAGCGGATTGCGCCTCATGCCCCTCAAACGTGTCAAAGAACAACCACATCTAATTCGTCCGCAGCGGGGATTTCTTGAGCCGTGAGGTAACATCTGTACTCCAACCCAATCGCATGCGTCACCGAGAGAGATATGGTAGATAGATTTGGAAGTGATCCGTCCCTAGGGTATCTGCGGTGCCGCCTCCTGGCTGCACTGACATTGATTTTCACTAGGACCAGAGCCCCTAGATAGCACAGACTCCAACCTTATCCGGACTCACCAAGATCATAACGGGATGGATCTCGTACTTGACTTGGCATCCGGTATGGTAACCTCGTGACAGCAATTACTACAGGGCATACTCTGGAACATAGCACTTGGCATCTGGTCTTTGGAAGAGTGTCAAGAATACATGTCAATTGAATTAAAAGTAAAAATTTCAACGCATAGTGGTATCATAACCTTGGTATCTGTGCCCCTTCCTGTCATGTTGCGGAGATGGCTGCAGCTCTGTGCCGCATTCTTTCTCTTCCATGAAATGGCTACCTTTACGAATTATTGTGTCCCTCCAAGGTGTTTTGAGGATATTCCATTTGTCGCTGTGCTTTAGACTTTCCCGTTAGAGATGTCATGCCGCAAGCATCAAAATATGCATTAATCAAGGGGCAAAACCCTCACACAACCCACTCAAAAACTCCTGAACGCCGCCAGACTCATGCTGTGAGTTTGAAATGTGCTCATTGGTTGTTATCGCAGACAGAAATCTTAAGATAGGCTGCTAAGAGCAGCAGGTGATCATAGCATGAATGTCATGGCGACAAAGAATGACGCAGCTCCAACCATGAACACGGTGACAGGATTGTTGGCCATCGCACCAGAGACGGTGACAAACGTTGAGGTCGGCTGGTAAGTTGGGACGACACCCGTAGAAAACGGAGTCGGCGTAGGAGTGCTGGTGCAGTTGTCGGTCGGTGTAGGATTATTGGTAGTAACGGCCTGGAAGTTGGCACAGCTGATGCGTGTCTTGTTGGCAAAGTGGATGACAAAGCTACGGTTACCGAAGAAGGCGCCAATGCCGGGAAGAGTCGAGGCGAACTCGTCAGTATAGGTAGCACTGAAGGGATCCGAAGTGATTTTGCCGTGCTTGCCGCTCAGGTCACCGACCTGGCAAGTCTCCGGAAGCGCGCTATCGCATGGGGGATCCTCTCCGCGGATGAAGGGATCGAGATGAGCAAGGGTTTTTGTGCAGTTCCCGTCAGCGGGTACTGGCGCATCGTGGATATGATAGACTGAGCTCTTGTTAGCATGCGTCTCAAGGTCGTAATGGTACATGGTCTTACTGAAAGGGCCCCCCTCTGAAGGCAGATTTTCGAATTTGACCTTGAAGATCACGCCCATGCCGTTAGGTGAGGCGACAGCATTGATGGATCCCTTGACGTTTCCTCCGTCTGGGTAGGCGGGCTTGAAAGCAGCCTCAGCGGGCAGGGTGGCCACATAAACAACTCCAGGCGGGTTCTATATTATATCGAGTCAGCAAAGTCCTGACGTTATAAGCCAGCGTTGGGCAACTAACATTCTCGACAGCAGTTGCGTTTCCCAGTTCCTGTTCGAAGAGTCAATGCGTGAAATATGCTGAGGAGAGAAAAGAAGGTCCGTACGCCGGTGGGAACACCTTGAGCCGCGACACTGGCGATGACAGAGGTGGACAGCAGAGAGAAGGAGCTTTGCAGACGCATCTTGACCCGATTCTCGGAATGATTGAGATGTGGTATGTATGGTAGAGCACCGGTTGTGAGGTGGGCGGGAACGAGTCTTTCGAAGCTGGTGTGCGAGGTGAACAAGCAAACTGCTTTGATATGCAAGTAGATCCTTCAACTGATGGCTAACTCTTTCTTGGCACGGATTTCTGAGCGAGTGTGTCTCCGAAAAGCCACAAGGAGGTTGAGGGGCAGGAGTGGGAAGCCAGCGGATCTTATAGTCAGGCACACAACAAGCAGAATCCCGAGCAGGAGGCGGGCTTGCATGAGATGGAGAAGACCAACAAGATCTAAGGCTCTAAGCTAAGCAGCAGGTAGGAGGGTGACCAAGACACACGGGCCCAACAACGCGGGTACCCGCCTCCGGCTTCCTTCAGTCATCAAGCAAGGCAAGGTACTTTGTGAGAAGGCACATTGCACTTCCCGGCCGCAGATCTAAGGTAGGGTAAGTGCCCATGGCAGGTATCTTACCCTTACAGGGTAGGATTGAAGTAACAGGTTTGACACGGGGCAGGCAGGCAGGGATAGAACAAGCAGGAGCAACACGCGAAAAGAAGCAGAGTCGTGGTTACCCTTTGAGCATACCTGACCTGCAGACCACCGGGGAAGAACGATGCTGGCTGGGGGAGCCTTCCCATTCTTAGACGTCATGTAAGACCGGCTAGGACGAAAGGACTGGTACCTTGCATGCTCCCCACCATGGACCAGCGGCAAGAGCCAACAGCCTTAGCAGGCTTAAATGAGGAGGTAAGACAAAGGCAAGGCCCAGCCTAATCTAGCGAGCCCATGTACATCGCAAGACCATAACTCTACGGCAACGGCACCTCAACAATGCTATGCCATGCCGCTCTTCTAGGCATGCTCGGTACGCCATGCTACGGTCTCATGGACATCGGCTAGTCCAAAGTGTTCTGCTTCAGAATTATTGTTCGACATAGTGGCGTCGTCATGGACAGTTCACTTCAATTACGAAACACAAGCCCATCTGGATAGAACGGCAACACTGGCACTTGACATCTCGATCTGTTGCACTATACTGTACCTCTTGTGTTGCATTTTCTCCGTGGCCGCTCTGCAATGACCAGCCGGCTTCCGAAGGGGCATTTCTGGTAAATCCCCAGCCCATCGCGGACAGGGCCCAGCTCAATTCCGGATGTGCTGGATGGATTATTGCAGGGGGGCGCATGTGCAGATGCCTGCGACAATCCAAGGATCAACCCGAACTGGAAAGCGAGGAGTTTGTTGGGGGGTCTGCATCCAAGCGCGGATGCCAAAGAAGCGCCAGGAGGCACGATGCCACACACAGGAAGGCTGAGCTGCTAGCGTTGGGCAGCTGCAAGTTTGCGGTTGTGTGCGTCTGCTAATCTGCCTGTGTCTAGGCTAAGGGAGCCAACGAAGAGACCGTTTCGCCTTTCAAAGCCTCACTCGTCGTCCACTGCGCCGTTCGGCTACCATCTGGCCGCGGATCCGTAGTCATACAGGTCCTCCATCCTGGTGCGCTCAAAGGTTGCTATTTTCGAACTCTACCCCCTTGCGGCGAGAATCGTGACGATCGAGAAAACCCACTGCCGTGCCACGGACATCACAATTCCGCGCAAACCTGGGGTTCAATTTACACGAAATTACCCGTCGATGACTAAAGTCCTTTGTGTGATGCTGGGCATTCCACTATTTATTACGGTAGCACTCTGGCGAGAGACCCATGGTGAATTCCCTCCGCAGCAAGACAAGATCGCCATTTGTGTGCATGCTATAGACACGCATAAGATTGGCCCCACGTTTTGTTTGTGTGCTTTCACAAGTGTGAAAGAAACGTGCCTCACGGCTGTGCCCTGTGATTCGCCTGCCCAGGACAGAACAGGGAATCATTGGCGATCATGCTCGTTGGTCAGCGCGCTACAGAGCGTCCTGTCGTTGGTCCAAGCTCGAGCCAAGCTTTCCTCAGTGGCTGGAGCAGCGCCCTTTGGCGTCTGTTAGGGGTTACGATGCAGTAGGCTCGCAGGGGCTGAGATCCCTGAGGATCTCCCTTCTCGCTAGTCGATGAGCACATCGTCTCACAGGGGCGACCTTAGTCAGTTGCTTTGCCAGCAGCGCAAGGTCAGCACTAGCATTGCACCGCCTTGGCTTCTTCACTCTGCTAATATCTTGACGGCCAGTGATCTTCGTTGTCAACAGCACCTAGAGAGGCACAGGAGATCGTGTGCAGGTGAGCGGCATTTTTCACCATTCTGGTAACGTACCGTTGTGACTTTTGCGTAGACGCTGCCCACTGCCCAGAACGAAGTCAACTGGAAGTGCGACGTTTGGTTCTTGCTACCGATTGATCACATCAAAGCGTCCTCTTGTGGGCCTATATTCTGCATGATCTCAAACACTCTGAGCTTTGACGTCTTTGGAGAAGGAATCTCATCTATACAGTGTGAATGTTACGATGTGACTTTAAATTCTGGGTTATGCTGGTTTAGAGTCATGACTATGTTGGGGGCCAGTGTAAGGATGCGGCGCCACCAAGAGATTCTGTTTCAAAGCCGACCCCAGCGCCGTTAAAGGCTTGGCGTTTCCTTGATCCAGATTGGCGGGCGTCCTGTAAGTGCTTCCCATGAAACAAGAAGTCTCCGTACATCGCCCACGCTGTATCAAAAGGGTCTTTCGGATGATTACCGATTGTCGTATTCAACCTGGCGGTGAGAAATGTCTCCGTTCGCGCCGGACGCGGCGAGACCTGACCCTGTGAGCATCTCATGTCGGTTCAGGAAGGCGTTTGTTCTTGGACTGTAAGCCGATTTCGAGACACAAAGTATTTTGCGTTAGTTTGAGCTTGGGCAACATCATTGCTGAATCCAATGGCGATAGTTGTATCCAGCCAATTGGCGGCCGCCACAAGTCGAAACAACCTACGAATTGACATCTGGGAAGAAAGGCATAGGATATCTGGGCTAAAAGGAGTTCGGATCAGTTCCCGAGCGCTTCGATAGTCCGAGAAAATCGGAAACGTGACACAACTTAGATACACAACTCTGTCAGTTAGCTTTATTGAGTACTTGGGTCATGGTGCCTTCAAGCTGTCATGACTATCCTGGTATTACAATTCTATCGCAAAATCACTCGCCGAGTACATTGAATGGCACTTGTACCTTTAATTACTTTCTTCCTCTGGGGGTGACTATGATAAGACTACCTGCCGTAGCAATAGACTCTCAAACCTCGTAAACACTAGTAGATGCCTGGTATCAAACGGTATGGAACCTTCGCCTTATAAGCATCATACTTCTCGCCGTATTTGCGCTGCATGTACCATTCCACACCGGGAATTTGGTTGTCAATAGCATCCTTCAACATGCCCCATCCGAAGAGCAGGCCTGGCCAGCCAAACAGCGCCACACCCTGAGTGAATCTCCAGGCGTGCGAGACAATGTAGTTGGGGTTCCTGACGATGCCCCACAGCCCAGTGTCGAGGATCTTGCCATTGTTCTTGGGTTTCTTCTTGAACGCGCGCTTCTGCTGCATCGACAAGAGTTCCAGAAGGGCGAACATGATAGTGGGAGGCAGCATCCAGCCCGCAAGGTTGCTCGACCACGTCGGGTTGTAGCTTGCCGAGTACAGGTGCAGGACCGTCAGGATGGCGTCCATGATAAATGAGATGGCCGAGATGGCCGGCGCGTTCCCGTCGCCTGACAACGGGAAGCGCTCACGACGCCAGGCGAAGAAATGTATAATGAAGAGTGAAGACTGTACAACGAAGGTGCTCCATACGGCAAAAGAGGCGGGACTCGCGAACTGGAGGCGCGATGCGACGTCGTTCATCAGTTCACCAACCCCCAGTGGGAGCGATAGAGGGGTCGTGGGCGGCGGACGGCTTGGATACGCCCATGGTAAGAACTTGAAGATGGAGAACTGGGATGAAGGGGAGCTCAGGAGACTGTATGAGAGCCCGACTGCAGCCAGGCGACTGGTCATAAACAGCAATCTTGCCGGTGTAAAGGTAGCTGCCTCGAGTTGGCCGCGATACCTGAAGTGATACGTCTCGCCAGGTTCATCTGGGTCTTTGCGGTTGGTGTATGCAGCCATCGCCGTCCAGGTCAAGAGCCTCAGCTAAATGAAGGAGAATTAAAGACACAAAGCAAAGAGTGGCAGACAAGGAATGAGAGACTTTTACGCCAGGATTTAAGATAAAAGAGAGGAAGAGAGGCTATAGCAACGTGATAGATTGCAATGAGATTTTAGTGTCGAAGCATTGCTTTAGGCTACCGTAGGATTCAGAATCCTGTGCCGCATGTTGTAATTATCTCCAATGAGATAAAATGCTCTACCACGACGTATTGACGCACTTCAGAGAGCGACGACTAGGAGGGGAAATTGGAATTTTCAAAGCGGCAGAGATATCAGAGAGCGAATCCAGAACATGAGACTTTAGTTTCGAGGGGCCTAGAGAGTCGACTTTTTGATATTCATCTGAGATACATAGGTACTCTTGGATATACCTATCAGTTGCAGGTTGGAGATAGCATAAATGGGGCAGGTAGCTCAGGCACCCACCCAAGGATAGCGACGAATAATGCAACTTTGAGTTGCTGAAGTCGCCGAATGAATACCTGAGGAAAACTCAAGTGACCAAATACAAACCTAATAACCAGTTTCGGATTCCAATATAGTTAAAGAATTTATGTTGAAACCTCGGCTTTTCACAGCTATTCTCATTAAGTGAGTGAACTGCAGCCCAAAATGGCCTGCAAAGAGCGCATTGACCAATAGCTAAAGCCCGCTAAGACGGCATTAGCAAGTAAGCCAATCAAGCAAGACAATGGCTTCCAGCAATCACGTGCATCTCCTTAGACCACGTTGGAGCTTTCGTTTTAGAGCTCCACTGGGTGATGTGGCCCGTCTTGTCTGGGAGCTCACGAAGCCGTCCTCGAGATTGCGCCTTTCTAAACCTCACGACCACAACACCACATATCCACAATGGCGCCCAAGCAGCGAAACGTGACGCCTGTTCCGGCGGCGGCTCCAACGGCTGTATCTCCTTCAACACCCGCCAAGGCTGCAAAGGCATCTGCCGCCGCCTCCAAGGACGACTGGGTACAGCTCGCTCAGAATGTCTACAACTACTACGTCAACAACACCCCTCAGCGCCTGATGCTGGTCGATGCTTTCCTGGTGTACCTAATGGCCGTTGGTGCTCTGCAGCTAGTTTACAACATCGCGTTCGGCGATTATGTACGGTTTTCTTGTCCTTGTCCTTGTGAAATAGCCTGTTCCTAACTATACGATGTAGCCGTTCAATGCCTTCCTTGCTGGCTTTGGCGCAACTGTTGGCCAATGGGTTCTGACGGGTAAGCGATCTTCTCTTTCTCGAGCAAGAAGTATTCAGGAGCTGACCCTATCCCATAGTGTCTCTACGCATTCAAACCACCGAGAGCAACAAGGGCGATTTCCCCTCCGTATCACCTGAGAGGTAGGTCTCTGCGCTCTCAGACAACATCTGGACATTGCTAATACATATTCCAGATCATTCGCGGACTACATATTCGCGAGCCTTGTCCTACACTTCTTCGTCATTCACTTCATCAACTAAGAGACCGAGTCTGAGAGCAAGGGGCGGCTGAAGAGTGAATGTGTTTCTACTGCGGTGCTGTGAACGGCGGGCACAGCTTGTAAATTACACGGCATAGGGTCACGGAAAAGCAAGAATGCTAGAACAGGATCCTGATACAGGGATATCATTACGAATGAAAGTCATTTACGAGTACAAATTCGGGCTCACTCTCCTGCTTCACCCTCAGCCTGCTTTGGAGTATCGGCTCTTGGTGGCCCCTTTGATGACCCGCCCGTCTTTGGGGGAGGAGGCACCGGTGTCTTCCTCCCTGCCGGCGCATTGTCCAGTTCCCGGCTCTTCTTCTCCTGCTCATTGAAGTAGTCATCCATTGCCCGGTTCGGACTGTGATGCGCGTGCCTATCCTTCTTCTTGCCGCCTCTTGGTGGTGCACTGGTGGGCGCTGCATTGGCCATCTGAGCCGGTACCAGGAAGTCTGCGGATGGAGGCGCCGCCGCTGGCACGAAGAGATTAGACGGATCGGGTGTTGACGCGGCTGCATCATAAGGTGTCTTCTCTGATAGTTCACCACCATCAAACATAGTCTCCCCAGGCGCATTGACAGGTTCGTCCAGCGGAGCTGGTAGTCTGTGGAGAGCACCATAGCCTAGAACGCAGCCCAATGCTCCCTCGCCACCCCAGTCCCGGCTCGGCGTTATTGTGACTTCTCGTGTGACGTTGTATTCATTGTTGTAAATGTATAGCCGTAATGGCCGTCCAATATGGTCCTCCACGAGCTCGCTCAGTCCACTCTCACCGTGTAGTACCCCTTCTGGACTGCCCAGAATATAATCGCTGTAAGGAAGAAGACCTGCAAGGTCGGCTGGAGAGTTCGCAGGTACGTCGAGGACATGCCATATGTTTGAGACGGCGGATAGAGACGTCCATTGCAGCGCCAGGCCAAGGGATGCTGTGTCGTGAGGAACTGGTACGTGCAATGCTCTCGTGCGTTGGCCCTGCAGCCGTAATGTGAGTAACTGTTATAATAGCGTAAGTCATAGAAGCGTCATAGTTGAGCATACCTTGGCGCTCCAGAGTCCCAGCGTGACAGTGCCGCCAGCACAATTCCGCACCTCTTGAGCGAATAGGGCCGGCGAAGGGTCGTCCTGAACACTTGGTCAGCATCCCCAGCTTGAAAACGGTCAATCTCTTGTAGATTATCTACAAGGCACTGACAATCATGCGCCCATTGATTCCAATAATATAATCAAACCAAGGCTCAATGGCTAGCTGGGAAGTCGTGTTTCGTAGGACCTGGAAGCCGAATGTCCCTTGCTGTTGTCTCTGCTGGGGCCCATCCCCGTCCAGCCTGGACATGAACCGGTTGAGGACGTTGAACATCTTGCATCAGCTGCCGAGGATGACCGGATGAGGACGTTCGTGGTCGTGGTTGGAGCTCTCAGCGTTGCTGACTGACACGTTGACTGTCTGGTTTATCTGGTGGGATGGCGGATTGCGGCAACCTTGTCCTCAGTGCAATGACGGTGGCTGTTCAGCCTTGTTCAGGTGGCCCAAGCTCCCAGCCCACTACTCGAGTAGAACGCGCCAGTGGACCTGCTAAATTAAGTCGCCCGTTAGCCTCGCATCTCGCCCATGTCATCTCTCAAATGGTTGGAGCAGATTTGATGCTCCAGACTTTTTCATCTGAAGGACAAGCACCGTCTAACTCGGTATCTGCACAGGAGCATATTAGGAATCTTTGAGCTGAAGCTATGCTCTTGGACTAGTGCTCCCAGACAGTGCAAACGCTCAGGCGACATCTATTCGTAAGGCATCTCACATATTCTCCTGAGCAGATGTCGACAATGAAGGTCGCTGAGAGGTTGCCTTTGACGGCGGAATGCCACCACTACGCCAATATTGGCGATGTCCCGTGGGATATTCAGAAGTGTGTATACTCTCTTAGGATTGAAGATATCTAGACATTAATCACTACCACTAGATACTGGCAGCAGCGCTACTCAATCTTCTCCTGGTATGACTATGATATTCAGCTTACGGACGACGCCTGGTTCGGTGTCACCCCTGAGCCAGTCGCAACGTAAGTGCACCTGCTTTCTTCATATGTAGATTCCAGTCATTTCTTACTCCGAGCTCTAGTAAAGTCGCTGAGGATCTCGCCACCTGTGCGAAGCCATCCGCCACGACGCTGGTAGACCTCTTCGCTGGCGCAGGCGGGAATGTCATCGCCTTTGCACTGTCCGATAGGTGGGAGAAGATCATCGCCATCGAGAAGGACGCCGCGACGCTCGCATGTGCACAACACAATGCTGAGGTTTATGAGGTCGGCCATTTGATCACCTGGGTGCATGGCGACTCTTTTGAGTACCTCGAAAAGCTCAAGACTGCCCCCGAGAGCCTAGATGAGGAGCTGCGTATCGACACTGCAGTGACAGAAATCTTTGCGTCGCCGCCCTGGGGAGGTGTTGGGTACCGCGACCACGACATATTCGACTTGAATGGCATGCAGCCCTACAACCTTGCCAAGTTATATGAGGCAAGCTCCCCTCTAGCGCATGCGCTCTATCTACCCCGGACGAGTGACCTACGGCAAATTGCCAAATTGGCGCCAGAGGGGCAGAAAATAGACGTAGTCCAGTATTGTATGGAGGGCGCGAGCAAGGCGATGGTGGCTTATATCCCATCAAGCCAACAATTACCGTAATCAGCCATGTGTCATAAGGATTCAACTTTTGGATTTCCCAAGTCTCGATATCTACAACTACAACTACAGGGGCTTCACGATGGTCCTCTCGTCAAACAGATCCTTCAATAACCCTTCTACGCAACCCTCCCAGTCGACGGGAGCCATTGCATAGATAGACTCGAAGGCGAAGATGCTCAGTTGGCCAAAGAATGGCCGAAGCACCTTGGCGACCAACTCATCTCTTCGTTCCAAGCTGATGTCATCGTTTAACCCACCAAAACCGATAAGGGGTCGCTTGGTCGAGCTGCTAGTCGCCATTGTGGCAGCAGACTCTGCTTGAAGGGCGGAGCCAGCCATGCTGGATCCGAGCTCTTCTGATAGCTCATCAACCAGGGCAACTGGTTGGTATGTTGGGGATCGATATACGGCATCGATCGTGTCTGTCACGAAGAGCCATTCGTGAAGCTGGAAATCATCAGGTGCAGCACAGATCAGTAAATCCAGAAGCTTGCATGCCTGCATGATGGATGCGTTGTTGTATGTATCTGAAGGAGTACTATGGTCTGGAGAGACGACCGAAGATATGGCGGCATGCAGTTCCGCGTTGATAACGGGCCAGACAGGGGCTAGGTGTATAGCGCTTGTCTTCAGCACCAATGCCCGTACGAGCATAAAGAGTTCCGCTCGCGTTGTTGAAGAGGGTGAAGATGTCGACGTAGCAGCCAACAGCTCTACTAGTTTCTCTATAATCAAAGGCAGATCTGTGACAAATGTGTCCTCTCCTGATGCCAGTATAAGTGTGGCTGCACGCCGAAGGTTGAGCTGCGTTTTGCGGTCAGCCTCCAATCGTGCGGAAGTCGCCCCAACACCAAAGACTATGCCAGCCGTAGCCGGAGGTGTGATCCGACTTAGAATTTCTGGCATGCGATCCTTGTCGGCAAGCGTCCACTGCTTGAGTATTGGGAGCCAGTCGCTCTGGATTAATGATAAGTTGGACCCAAAGAAGCGAGAATCGTTGAATGCCTCGGTGACATCCTTCTTCCACGTCTTCTGGTTGTTAGGTAACCTCGATAACTCTTGTAGTAGAATCAATGTGCTCTTTGATATGGTATCAGGGAAAGACTTCGTACGTAGTGCCGGTCCAATGACATTTGTCGATATTGCCGCAGCGGCACTCAGGACTCGATCAGACTCGACGAGAATCTTGGGTAAATTTGGTACGATGGAGGACAATATCCCAACGACATCGTCAGCCCTCTCGAAGGGGGTTTTCACGGCTGAAACTTCACGAGTCGGTTTTTCAGCTTGACTGCTAGTGATCTCTGCGTAGTTCATTGGCCGCGTGGTGAATATAGCAGTAAGAAGACGGAGGAATATGTCCTAATAGGAGGTTAGCCGTCTAGCTCATAAAAGAATAGAAGATGATGGAGAAGCATACTCCGAGCTCCCGCCGCATTTTACGCTGCTCCCCGAAATTGGTGTTGTCGACTTTCTCTCCAAGAATAGCAGCAAACTCCAGCAGGCTCGGCAACGTCTGCCTATGTGGAAAGGGATTGCCCAGAAGGTCTCTCAAGAAGGTTACGCAATCTTGCCAAATTTCATCCATTGCATCATCTTCAAGCGATTGGGCATAGTCGACCAGGAAAATCACGATATCAGTATCCTGCAATGAATTCGTGAGCGTTGACTTCCTTGATATTTCAAGAGCACTCGGGTTGGTGCGGCTGTATATCGCATTGAAAATTGCTGGAATTGTATGCTTTGGGCGAGATCCGTCCAACGCTGGAAGTAGATTGAACACTTGAGCGTGTTTGGAGGTGTCAGGGTCGGTCAGAGAAGTCTGCCAAATGCCGATTACCGTTTCCAGGCACTCTAAGGTTTCTGCCGCGAAGAGATGTTCGAGTAGCCTTCTAGCACGGTTGCGCATTCTTAATGAAGTGTAACTGAATGAAGCTGCAGAGTTGGAATCCTGTGCAGCTCTATCACTACCTTGACCCCATGACCAAATCGTGAAGCAGATGCGAACCGCGTCTTGGAACGCAAGCAGCACAGTCAACCTATCATTGGCTGTAGCACTCCTCGATTGCGGAGCGTCAGAGGAAAATACGCCAGACACCATGTTACCGAAGAAGCTTTGTTGTTGGTCTGGACTCTTCACGACCTGTGCTCGGGCTTCCTCAACTAAGAGTGCATCATGAGATCTAGCTAAAACATGCTCGAGCCCATTGAGGAGTGAGATAAGGGTCGATTCCGGAGCGTTGAGCTTGTCGCCAGAGTGGCATAGGTCTTCCTTAAACATCTTTTGCAGACTGCTGAAAGAGCTGCTAATTTGGCCGCAAAGAGTCTCGACAAGAGGGATCAAGACTTGGAATATTGAATCAGTGTAAAATGGTAGACATTCTGTAAGGAAGCTTATCCAGCTATCCAGAACAGGTCTACTGCTAGGTGAAGAGAGACCAGCCTGCAGACACTTCAGAAGTGAAGCTGGAGGCGGAGGCATTCTAGGTGCTCGCTCAGACGTCAAAGATAATCTGAGGCTCTTGTTTGGATCGACTGTTGGCGCGCGTTTCTCGTTCATTGGTGACGGTGGCTCTTCGGCAGGGATCGTGTCTCGCAGTTTCAAAGAAGCAAAAACGACATCCAGTAGTAGTACTTGAATGTATGGATCTTCGCCCTGCAGAGACTGACCAAGCCTCTCGATAAGAATGTCCTCCAAGTGAAACTTGGATAAGATCTCGGCATGTGGATTTAGAAGAATTTGATGTAAGACCGTTAAAGCATAACGGACAAGTTGTGTGCTCCTGATTTTGAGCTGATCATCCGCAGGAACTTTGTAGTAGGCTACACATCTAAGACATATCTGCAAAAAGAAGTCCTGGAAGTTGACGTCTTCGTCCGTTCCGGCTATTTTAGTGTTAGTTGGACACAGGCCAGGCCGTATTGTGAACTTACTTAGGCTGGGCAGCGCTGGGTGTGTATCAGGAGATACAGGTCTTGAAGCCAGCACGGCCCAAATTGAGTCCGGCGCCCACCGGAAGACATTAGAAAGTGTCCTCAGATAATACAGACAGAGATCGAGGTCATCTGCATCTCCAAATTCAGCCTGCTCGCCTCGTTTGCCAGAGCTGTCCTCATTACGTAGGTACTGTAACTCTAAGAATTTGGACACGAAAACGAGAAACATCCTATGCGACGGGTCAGCAAATGTAATACTCAGTCCTTGTTACCATACTTACTTGTCGATACCAATTGTGTTATTAAGCCATGCCTTTACTGACATGAAAAGCTGGGTTCTCTCATCAAGAAGAGAATCAAGCATGAGAAAAAGAGGTCGGGTCAGCATGACCTCGTAGTTATTCAGGCCAGAGAGCCTAGGAAACATTTTCAAATCCGCGTTCGGAGTCTTTGGTGTTCTTCTATCAGAGCTCGTCGCACCGTCTTGCAAGCTGTGTGTCCAGAGGATACTAAAGCTTCGCCCAGATTCTGCGAGGCGGGTCGCAAATGAGCCGTTGACATCATATTGTATCATCAAACTACATATAGCAGCTTCGATGTCACGATTCTGAGGTGTCAGCGCGGTTTGCAAGTGCCACAGGCTGCGAACTGTTTCAACGTGATATTTTGGCTCTGAGGCTGCTAGAAATGCCCAAGCATGCCGGACGAGAGGAGACACCAACTCAGAGAGTTCGGTGCTGAGTATGCGACTGGTAGAAAGTAGATGCGTAGAAAGAAAGAGTGTCGAAGAGAAGGTCGTATATGCAAGAGTCTTCCGCTCCAAGAGGCAAGTATGTAAAGATGTCATGAGGTGTTTTACGTCGAAAGGTGTGTTCTGAGGGGTTTTGGAGAGCAGGAGCATTAGTATTCGGCTACTGATACTCAGCTGCATTCCTTCATGATTTCCCATCAGGGTCGTACAGTTCAGGCTGCATGCTTTCTGCAAGAGCAACTCGGCTACATTGCGAGCTGCAAAGGGAGGGTTTGAAGCATCCAAGTTACCTTGCTCGTTGACATAGAAGTGCTTGATTTTCTTGAGTACTTCTAGATTCGGGGTACCCAGAATGGCCGTCGTTTCTGCAATGGGCGTAGATCCGTTGGTAGGATTACCTGGGAAAGCCCGCTCAGGAACGAGCTCCAACAGATCCGCTGCAATGGCCAAAGCACTCATCGTCCAAGGGTCCCTGCTAGCTGATAGATCTGATGCGTCTTCTTTGTCTTTAGCATCTTCCAGCATGCAAAGTATGGCGAGAACCGTCAGGGGAGCATGAATGGTGATCATCTCTTCCTCTCGTACATTGAAGTGGGTCACGATGAACTTGATGAGGGCGAGTTTGTCCACACGCTCTGGCGCTGACAGGTCACCAGGGCCGATAGCCTGTGCCATTTGCCCTAGTATTTCGCCGTATATCAGACCGCTTTCGACACCATCAAAGAAGACACTGGCGCTACGCAACACCTCGACGAATTCTATCTTGCTTGCTGCTTGAGCTTTGTATTGCCTGACACTGTCCACAATTGGGAGGAAGACCTCGGGCACCACTAGGCCGCCGATCTCCCATCTGTCCATCAGGGAAAGACATATGCGGTAAGGGCGTGCTCTTTCGGATGGGCTGTCACCTATACTATTTTTTATCATAGCAAGTAAAGCTTGCGTCAACGGTTGCAAGCCGAACTCCTCGAAGTAGGTAGTTCGTGAAGCGGACAGCCCGTGACGATGATCTGACGGAGATGTTGGCGACTCTAGTCCACTTTCTGTTTCATGAACCGGAGGTTCAGGGCCAAGTAACCAAGTCCACAGTCGTCTATTCAAGCTCATGTCTCGGCGTGTTACGACACCGATAGCAGCATTGAGAAGTAGTTGTAGGTCTCCTGGCTTCACCCGAGTTTGAAGAACCTTGGAATGTAGTGGGAGATGTGTCACAAGGAGATCTAAGAAGCCCCTCTGAATAAGCAGTTGTTCATCCGCTAAACCGGCAGCGAAAGATCGTAACAGCAGGCCGGGTTCTGGCGAGGTGACAAGTTGTGCCAGCTTTGACGACAAATCCGCATCCGCTCCATTGGCAATATTACCAGGCCGATGTGTTTCGGGGGACAGTGAGTGGCCCAGCTTTGGCAGGCTTCGGACAAGGTATGCCAGGGCTCCAGGCCGCCGGCTCTGGCCAGTTATGGAGGCCAGAAAAAAGCACTGCCAAAAGAAGTCATCCCCACTGGAGTGGCCTTGTGTGATCTCCTCACTCCCATGAGGCCGGATTGCTATTTTGAATCGCTCCACCAACTTCAGGGTCCGATCAAAGTCTTCAGCAGTCTCCTCCTCCAAACCAGGGAGTAAGCCCAATATTATTGACTTCATTGCTGGCCGCAAAGACCGAGGGTTCAGATCCAAGAAGTATCGCTCCAGAAGATCGAGGAACGGGGTCCTCACGGACAAGGAAGCGAAAGAGAGGGTTGAAGCCAGCCCGGGCAGATATAGTGGCAGGTCCTTCGACAGCCCGTCATTCCCTATTACCGAAAACACATAGCTATACACTTCCAGTGCTTTCTGGTGTACACCAGAAGGCAATGAGGGGTTCAAACATTGCGACAGGCGCTTTGCGACAACGGCTTTCGAGGGAATGGTGTTTATGTTCGTATGTCGAGCTTGTAAGGCCTACGTGGTGACAATGGTCAGAGAGAACCTTTATGAACGTAGAAGTCGGGGTGCAAACCTTCAACAGCCGGTTCAAGAAGGAGATATAGTCTGCCCATTCTTGCAGCGCAGTTTCGAAGAGTGTGAGCGCTCGATCAATCCCCGCGGCGTATTTGCGATAACTCTTGTCTTTCGTCGGTGTTTCTTCTGCGATGTGAGCTGATTAGTCGGTCTGTATAGATCACCTCCAGCTAGTACCCCTGCTCACCTGCTCCCAATTGATTCCTCCATTGTCGTGGGGCAGGAGAGTCTCGGCCAGAGCTCTCTGGGGAGACAGACCTTCGGCCAGAGTTTGGCTCGAGGGACATTTTAGCTGTCGCGAGGCTTGAAGGATGGGTAGTATGAGAACATGAGGCTCTCCTGGGTTCGTGGAGGCTTCACTCGCAGTATCATTGCTGCCTTGAACTCGCAAGGGGAGAGAGTGTGCCGTCTTCGTGGCTTTCAGCATGCATGTGCAAGCAATGGAATAAGGCTACCTGTTCGGTGCAGACGTACGTCGCGGGTACTAAGGTTGAGTACCTGGAATAGGGTACGCTAACCCATTGGCTGGCGCGTCAAGAACCCTGTTACCCGCAACGTAAGGCTGTTCAGGTCCTAATTTTAACGCTACCCAGGTCGACATAATTCCGTATTGCGTCTTATAAAGACAAGCAAGACCCGTCTGCAATTCCAACGAAGGCGGTGTGCTTTCTTGCGAGATAATATCATTGCTAAGATATTGTGTCTCTAACATACGACTTGCTAGTAGCTCCCACAGTACTTCAGTATATACAATCTTTCATTTCTGAAGAGAGGTACCTGGGAGCGTTTTGTATTGGAGCTCTCAGAACTGACGTCAAGTTTCCGTTATCTTAAAGTGCCAGCCCCACGCCTGGTGCCGACATCAACCACACCTCCACAGCAATTTGGATCACCAGAGCCTCAACTTCGGACGCACCTGTCACAAAGCGACACCCATGGCGCTTGACTTTGAAGCATGGATTTGATGCCAGACGATTCAACCTTTGATACGGCGCAAAATACTCCGTTGCGCCTTGGGCTCTCGGCTGGTCTAGAGAGACAATGAGCGGATTGAATTGCAGTCGCCATCATGGTCCGAGAAGACGATGCTGGTGGTCCCAATGACAGCGCCGGCGACAGGCCGCCGCCACCTCTGCCGCCGAGGCCATCAGTGGACGCCCCTAACCAACTACGATCCAAACCTGTCACGGCAGTATCCTCCGTCGACATCCAGACGCTATCGTTCCCAGATGGCTCCCGGGGGACATTCTCGAGCTCCGGCCCGCGGGCTGTGTCGACGCCAGCACGACTGTCGAGCGGGTATACAACTCCGAGTATTGGCGGGCTAGTGTCTGCGAGCGGAGAGGCAGACGATTCTATGAGCATAATGAGCTTTGCCCCAACGCTGCGGCCACCGGGTGATCTCGCAAGTCTCGTCGCTGGGGAGCTGAACAGAAAGAGCCGCGCCTGGGCGCTTTTGCGGTCGCAGTCCGCGAATGTTCCGCCCTTTGAAAAGGTCAAGTTGGATACATCAGCGAATGGTCTCGCGAATTTCGAGAGGGAGTTTGACGATATACCAGACGAATCAGCGCAGGATATCAAGGACGATGAACGGGTGTCATTGTGGAAGTCCAAGCTTAAGCATTATATGATTTTATCATCGGCGGGCAAACCAATATGGAGCCGCCATGGCGACTTAAGTTTGATCAATTCTTACATGGGAGTTGTCCAGACTATTATATCCTTTTACGAAGGCGCGAAGAACCCCCTACAGGGATTCACGGCTGGGAACGTGCGGTTCGTGGTTGCAACGGAGGGCCCGCTATACTTCGTTGCAATCAGTAGGCTGGGCGAAAGCGATGCCCAGCTCAGAGACCAATTGAAGGCACTCTACATGCAAATATTATCAACTCTTACGTTACCCACCCTCACAAAGATATTCATAAATCGACCGGGAACCGACTTAAGGGCACCTTTGCGAGGGACAGAGTCGTTGCTTGCCTCCTTAGCAGACAGTTTCACCAAAGGGTCGCCGTCTGCTCTTCTAGGTGCTCTAGAATGTCTGAGGCTACGCAAGTCACAGCGGCACAGTATCAACAATGCATTCCTCAAGGTCCGAACTGAGAAGCTCCTGTATGGTCTGATCGTCGCCGGAGGCAAACTAGTCAGCGTGATAAGACCTCGGAGACATTCTCTTCATCCCTCAGATCTACAACTCATCTTCAACATGCTCTTCGAGTCTGAGAGCATACAGGCCGGGGGTGGTGAGAACTGGATTCCTCTGTGCCTGCCCGCCTTCAACAACACAGGCTTTCTCTACATGTATGTAAGCTTTTTCGACGGTGCTTCTGGCGAAGAAGGCAGACCTACATCGGCTCCCCATGGCGAGCAAATAGCCATTATTCTCATCAGTCCTGACAAGGAATCATTCTTCGATCTCAAAGAAATGCGCGACAAGGTCGTCCAGTCGCTTACGAAGAACGGTAGCCTGGCAATCATCAAAGCAGCTGTTAAGGCTGGGCGGCCCCCAGTGTCGAGCCTTGTCCCAGGCATCCAGGTCAGCCACTTTCTCTACAAGTCCAGGGCAAACGTTCAGTTTTGCATGGCGGCTCTCGAGCCGACCTTTGGAGACATCATAACCTCCACGACTACGTCGGATGACGGCGAGAAAGAGCGCTCTGGTCTTGTCGGTCGCAGAAGCTTGATGACGCTATATCACCAGCTACATGCTGCAGTTCATGCGCGGCATTCTCATCTCAAGGTCTTGCATTGTGTCAGTGAGGATGCTGCCAGTCTGGCATGGGTCACGCCGGTATTCGAGTTCTACTGCGTGTCTGGACCGAACACATCACGAGTGGTAATGACGCAGGCGGCCAACAAGATCATTCAGTGGGCGAAGAAAGAAGAGGAAAGACTATTCATCATAGGAGGCGGCGTATTTTGAAGGCTTTTCAAATTGGGAGTGGAAATTCATTAAATTAAAATTGACAAACGAGGCTTTCAAATCGTCACAAGCCGTCTCCTATTGACCATATATCCCATCCATATCATACGAGGTGAAGTAATGAAACAAGTGTCGCATCCTCCAGCTCACCACTGGTTCCGTTACACCTCTCCCAAAGTTTCTCTAGAGCAGTCTCTTTGGGAGGCTGTCACAGTCGACCTTGACGACCAACTTAACATCTTCACCCTTGTCGGCCTCCAGCGCTTATCCTGACAGTGAACCCTTCGCAGCTCAGGAAACTCGTCATCATCACAATCCGCTTCCATTCGACTAAGGATTGGGCTTGTCCTTCTACAGCAGAACAAGGATAGTGCTCGTTTCAGCTTCGACAGGCGAGAGTGCACCCCATCAACCATGGGGCTGTCCTCGTCATGAGCGACGTTCGGTGCCGGGGTCGGTGCCCTCGCCATCTCCGGCCAGGGAGATGTAGGTGGGATATAGTCAAGCTCTTCTTTGAATACGGGATGACGAAGTCGCGGTGGGAGAGAGCCGTCAGGATATATTGAGGGAGTGGTGCAGTGCCATGTGGTAGACAGCGCACCGGCTTGAGCGGTGAAACTGCCTAGCTCTACCACTGGCAACATGGACGGTCGGGTCATCATGAGTTTGTTCGGCCGCCGATCTGTGCTGTCTCTGACCCGCGTTTTGAATATGTGGTCGCGAGTATGACGGCATCAAGTTACTATCGAGTTGCTTGGATAAATTGGCACAAGACAGAGTTGTAGCATTTACTTCACAAAGCAGAAGAAGAGTAGAATTAAGATTGTATATATAACACTCTGCCTGATGGGTTGTTGCGCCAATGGTTCTCCGACACTGCCAATCATCCTGTGGTTGATAGCGGGAGAATGCGTATTTAACTTTCAAGTCAACCATGTTTAGCAACACAACGTCCGGGACAACGGTGCTCTTTCAATCTCATGTATCGCGTTGTAGCGTGTGTTAGGCTCTAGAGTCTTAGAAGGTGGATTGACTTCGAGTATGTACATCATCGACTTACGACCAGAAAAAACAGCCTCCGGTTACCACATCCCCCAACCTGTAATGATAAATAACTTAATAATAAGGAGATAGAGGTCCGGTAGGCCCAACCCAACGCTCAAAACGCTCCGCAACCTAAACAATTCATGTTTGCCAAATCAATCAGGGCGTTGAACTGCTTCTTCAAGGAAGTGAGAGACATTGGCTGGATAATTCCTTTGACACGTCCTCCCCAAGATGATATCCACAGGCAGAGCCACTGTAAATCAATGACCCTTGCGATTTCTCTTTCTTACGACGGCAGTGACCACATGTCGAGCATCTCGCAGCCACTTCTCCAACTTTCTCTTCAGTTTTCTAGTTCTGATGAAGTTCTTGGTGGCTAAGCCGGCATCGTTGCCAGGCTCTACCAACGCACCTTTATTCTCCGACATTGTAATTGGCGGAAGAGCATCAATGGGACGATTCTGAATTTCGTCGTCTTTTGCCTGGTCGATATTGGCATGGTCGCCGCGCGCGTTGTGATTACGTGGCTCAGCAAATCTTGCCCTGAAATTTGACAGGCCTCTCCTTAAACCCTTCCGTGACATGGCTTTACTACCTTCCGAGAAAACGCTGCGGATCTCGCTGAAATTGATAGAATCCTTTGGAACACGCGATAGACGTGTATTGTCCATATAAGCATCGAGAGATGATCCACGATGGTGTTCAAATACAATGGGAGGGAGCCTCGGTGGTGATGTACGTGCTGAGCTCGGCTGGTCCTTTTTAGAATGTTTCTTGCTTTTGTCAGCGCGAATTTCTTGCCCGCCGCGGCGACTGCGGTAAAGAGCTTCAAGCCCTGATGCAGAAGTGAAGAGATCTGTCGGGCGCAACGAATCTAGATCAGATAAAGCTTCGGATTTTTCAACTCTAGCATGCCTCTTGACGGTTCCGATGTCATCAGCGGACTTTGTGCTAAGCGCGCCCCGGGAGATCTTGAGCTTCAGCCTTGTTTTGATGGGTGTGCGTCTGTCCACAGGATCAGCGCACTCGGCTTGTTGCTTGGTAGGTTTATAGCGTGGACTCGCCCCTGACTTCTGAGGAGTATTCGGCTCAACCTCGCGCAATGGCCCCATGGCGGCTGCCGGGGCTAATCGTAGCTTTGGCCTCTTTTTCGCAATATTCTGGTCGAAGACAAAGGCGTGGTAATTGTTTGTATTCCCGACTGCCCGATTCTCTGGAAGTATGGCATCGGTCAACGTTGAACGTGCTTCTGTCAGTCGCGAAAGCTCGAAAGGTTCGAAGTTGACGGGAACTACAGCAGCGCCGAAGGGAGATTCTGGCGCTGGGGAGTATCCTGGAAGGGGAGGCAGTGCCTTCATTAGCTGCGGTATGCTGTCCTTGACACGCAGTAACCTTGCTGGAGAAATTGGTTCGGGTGCTATCATTGGAGACTTTGAACGATCCAGATGCAAATCAAACGTTTCATTCACAGACCCTGCGTTCTCAGTCTCGAGAGGTTTGGGTGCCGAATGATTCCGTCGATGTTGGCGTTTAAGTGGCCGAGATGAGAAAGGTGGCATGTACCCTCTTCGATGAGCTGGTTTTGATCCTCCCTTCGATCCTGCTTCTGAAGATGGGTTCTTCAAATTCAGAATCAAAGCATGCGTCTGTTTCTCAGTCTCCGTCGGACTTCCAATCGTAGACATTGGAGACGATGTGTGTATGTGATTTGAAGTTGCTGGAACCTTCCCGAGGCCGTTGCTGTCCGCATGATTCATTCTGGCAGGGCAAAATGCCTGAGGGGCGTGACCGTTGGTACTGGTGGCCGGGGACTGCTCGGTTGAACTCCTATTGGGTCTTGCATCATCTGTCGTTACTTGATTCACTTTATCTCTGTCGTTCAGAATCTCCTGCAAGTTTAATCCAGATGTCCGAGGAGATGCAATACTGATCATTGGGACGTTCCCATTTGCAGCAGATCCGTCGACAAAATTAGGTCCGCCGAGCTTGTTAGATCTCCTGGGAGAGCAGTCTCGAGGCATATGCGGCGTTGTCAAGCTCTCCTTGAGCTCGAGGCGTTCATTTGGGTCTTGGACACTAGCATCCTGCGACGACTCACTCAAGGCACGAGTTTTGAAATAGCTTGCAATTCCCAAATGACCTTCATCTCTTTGGTTGTCGAGTTGGTCATTATAATCTTCTCGAAGAACCATGGGACGATGGCTGCTAGAAATACGAGTTGGTACGGGCGCCAAAGGTGCATCAGGGGTTACCGAAGATGGCACTTTCTCCTCTTGACCTTCAAATTCCTCGCTGTAGTCATAATAGAAGGCTTTTTTCGAGGCAGCGGGAGGACCAATGCTTTGCATTGTGGTAGCGGCATATCCATCAATAGACGATGTCAGACTTGAAAGTCTCTGGTTGTAACTCGCGGAGTTGTCGGGCTGCCCACTGAAGACTTGGTCACCACGCGGATGGTCATGGTGAGACGATCGAACCCGGGGTCCGGATGCCGTAGGCGATTGGCGGCGATGATGCCCTAAATGCGAGTGTAGCGATGGTGTCGACTGATTGAGATCAACTCGCAATGCCAAGGGGAGAGGCCGTCTCGGTTTCTGACGCGGGAACGGCCTATAAGAGCCATGTATGGTCCTCTAAATGACAATTAGCGATCGGATTAAGCCTAAAGCAGTGATGCAAATCTACCAAAGATATTCGATCGATCTCAACCATCCTGCTGTAGTCTACACTTCCATTTTCTGTCAAAGCAGGTGAGGCAGGTCGGACACCGGGACGCTTGAGGCGCGTGGGATATGGGAAAGGGGATCGTGGACGTTGGAGCCCGTTCGGATGTGGGTATCCCCGTGAAGGATGCTCCGCTTGAGAGACGGGAAGATACCTGGAGACAGAGCTCACCATTGAATATGAGCGTTGACCATTGGCATCAAAGCCAGGGTACAAGGAACTGGACACTGATCTGTTGCTACCACCGTACATGGACAGGATCTCGGACGTGCTGTCGCGGTACGAGGGAAGGTGCCTGCGGTCATCTTGTCCTGTTGTCCGGGTGCTTGCACGAGAACATCTGCTAACGCTCCGCATGTCCTTGAGGCTTGGCCGTGGCCGAGGCTCATGAGGAAGAGTAGAGGAAGACTTCATTGGCCGAATGGAAAAGATACCAATGTCTCCGGTCTCTGTGGTGGTTTTCAACATGCTCTCCAGCGGTCCAGGCGACTGCAGGAACGCTGTATTCTCCCTAAGGCTCTTGAGTGGTCGGAAAGGGGGTAGAGATAGACTGTTGTCGGCATCCATGCGGCCATGAGCATCGTATGAGTTGTGAAGAGCGCCATGACTGGCTGACCGCCTGGCGAAGCCCGGATGGCTCATGATGCATTGAGCACGAGCGATGCCGCCGGTAGAGCTAAAGAATGATGAAGCAGGCTAAAAGAGCAGGAGGATAGTGATGTAATATGCCGGCGTGTTGAACAGTAACAAAACAATTGGAGATGCCAAGTCCCGGAGAGCCCTTGCGAGAATGGTTCAACGAGAGACAAGGACAAGAAATGCAAGCTGTTTATGTGGCTTCAGTCCTTGGACGCTGGAAACTGCCGCACTCGAGGCTTCCATGGTCAAGTTGAGGTCTACCCGTCCGTAGCCATTGCCCAATAACAACAGAATCGGGTTGGAAGAAAGTGCACAGAAGCACCAACCGCGATTTGACGCGGGCAAAAGTAGCACTTGCCTGTTTGCGTGGTTTGAAAACCTTTTGAGGAAGGCACGATGGCTTCAACTCAGAATAACCATGCCAACCCATCCGCTAGGGACTCTTCACCTTCACCTTCACCTACCGCCTCAGTGATAACCGTCCTTGAAATGAGGGTTTCCATGGCTATTTCCCGATTCCAACGCATTTTCATGAGACTCATGATATGTCATGTTGGCAGTGGACTCTGTTCGTCGGGTCGAAGCCCGTTTGCGCGTGTTGCTTTCACGCATCACGGAGACCGCTGGAGGCACAGCATGCTTTTTGGCGTACTGACTGCAATCGCACGTTCACAGCAATGGCGGTGTCTATGCCACGGTAGAACGGCCAAATGTCAACAAACGACGCTCGCGCCGATAATTTATAAAAGACACATCTCCATCTGTTGAACATCGCCGCTGAGCCGCAGTCCATTTCGGGACGGATGGAGCACGGAGCGAGCTGAAGCACAGCTTTGGGAACGGCGGCTCTTGGCGGGAGGCGCTGCCGGGGGTTACACACTGGGGCTATCGCTTTGCATCGCATATAGGACTGCAAGGCTTACCCCGAGCCGTCGCTGCAAGTAGGGTACTGTACCGCGCTACAGACAGTAATAGATCCAGATGGGCGGCGCCTCTGCTGTACTGTAACCCAGGTAGGTAGGAGAAGAACAAGCATATCTGTCCTCTCTTCACCGTGCTTGGATAAGCTGATGGCTGATGGCCAACGTAAAGTAAGTTGCACGGCGAGGGGTTGGCTTTAAGCCGTCTGGCATGTAAGGTTTTGGTTTCGGTGGCAGGATAAACCCTCGTGGCGCTCTGTTTGACTCTAATATCAAACCCCAACGCCCTACCGAGTTTATGCTTACATACCTAGGTACCTAAGGTATGGTTTGTCTCGATGCAGTAGATACTGGTGGATGATGTACTATAAATGTCTGAATACCATCTTTCTTCCCCACTACAAATGATGCCGTGTCGACTTTCTAGGCGGAGTGCAGGAGTGCCTACTGGGGATCAATAGGGGAGCATACCCTACAGTAGGTACAGTAAGAGAGATGAGAATTGTTCCGTTTAATCTATCACTAATTGAGCGAGGGTGTGGCATCGGCGCACCGCCATCGCCTCCCACGGCCGGGGATTATTGGGTGGCAGTTTGCCCCTCCACGAGGCTATGAGCTGATAGCGCGCTAGCCAACTGGGAGACAAGATGCCGTAGGCGCCCTAGGAGGCGATAGCGCAATGCCCTTGGCGGTATGTACTGGTTGCCGCCAAAAACAAAGAAAAGATACTTCTGGCCCGAGCCCCTGTCTTGGCCGATCTGCCCCTTTAAGGTATGGAACCAAGGGAAAACGGGCCAAGGGTTCCCCAGGCGGGTTCCTGGAAACTGGACACCTGTTCAGAAAGTTGGAGGCAATGGCAAGGCAAGGTGAGGTAGCTTAGAAATTCAGTGCAGGCGATAAACTTAGCATCACCAGTCCAGCACCAACCTTCCTCCTACCTACCTACTTATTCCTCTACTAGTAGCAGCTGCCCTGTGTGAACACCTGGCAGTGAAATCACAGCAATTCCTCTTAAAAGGGCCCGTTTCTCCACTCGCCTTCGCCCACTCGTCTGCTTTTGCTTCGTCCACTTCCATTCTTCTGTCCTCCCTTCTTGTCTTCTGTTCTCTTGTGTAGTTGTCCAGAAAGGAAGGTCAGTAGCTTCTATTCCCCTCCCGTTGTTCCCCTCCGCACGCCTTGCATTACACGCAGCCATCTCCGCACGGGCTCCTGCAGCTTGTCGCAGCAGTTGCTGTCGAGGTCGAGATCCACCGCCGTTGTTTCCAGTACTGACCTGCTTGCTCCTCCAGGTCCTTCAAGGTCAAGATGCGCACTACTCAGAGACTCGCCTTCAGCCTGCTCGCTGCGGCGGCAGTTGCTTCGGCGTCCGATGTCACCCAGTTGAAGAAGGACACCTTCGACGACTTTGTCAAGACCAATGACATTGTCCTAGCAGAGTGTGAGTCTATCTTGTGATTGCATGCTGCTAGCCCAAAGGACAAATTGCTAATTGGTCATGTTCAGTCTTCGCCCCATGGTGCGGTCACTGCAAGGCCCTCGCCCCAGAGTACGAGGAGGCTGCCACCTCATTGAAGGAGAAGAACATCAAGCTCGCCAAGGTTGACTGCACAGAGGAGTCCGACCTGTGCCAACAGTATGGCGTCGAGGGTTACCCAACCCTCAAGGTCTTTCGTGGACCTGAGAACATCACTCCCTACAAGGGACAGCGAAAGGCTGCTGCGTATGTGGACTCCATTTTGCCCTGATTAGTAAACTCCTGCTAACATGGTTCCGACAGCATCACTTCATACATGATCAAGCAGTCCCTACCGGCAGTGTCCATCCTGACCAAGGACACTCTCGAGGACTTCAAGAAGGCCGACAAGGTCGTTCTTGTTGCTTACATCGATGCCTCTGACAAGTCCTCTAACGAGACCTTCACCGCGGTCGCTGACAAGCTCCGCGATAACTACCCCTTCGGTGCCAGCAGCGACGCTGCTCTCGCCGAGGCTGAGGGCGTCACCGCCCCCGCCATTGTCCTGTACAAGGAGTTCGATGAGGGCAAGTCTGTCTTCTCTGAGAAGTTCGACGTCGAGGCGATCGAGAAGTTCGCTAAGACCGCCGCCACCCCCCTGATTGGCGAGGTTGGCCCCGAGACTTACTCTGACTACATGTCCGCCGGCATTCCCCTGGCCTACATCTTCGCCGAGACCCCTGAGGAGCGCAAGGAGCTCAGCGATGCCCTGAAGCCCATTGCTGAGAAGCACCGCGGCGTCATCAACTTCGCGACCATTGACGCGAAGCAGTTCGGCGCCCACGCCGGCAACCTGAACCTTAAGACCGACAAGTTCCCCGCTTTCGCCATTCAGGAGACTGTCAAGAACCAGAAGTTCCCCTTCGACCAGGACAAGGCCATCACTCACGATGACATCAAGTCCTTCGTTGATGACTTCGTCGCAGGCAAGGTCGATCCCAGCATCAAGTCTGAGCCCATCCCTGAGACTCAGGAGGGCCCCGTCACTGTTGTCGTCGCCAAGAGCTACAACGACATTGTTCTGGATGATGCCAAGGACGTGCTCATTGAGTTCTACGCTCCGTGGTGCGGTCACTGCAAGGCTCTTGCCCCCAAGTACGATGACCTTGCTTCTCTGTACGCCAAGTCTGAGTTCAAGGACAAGGTTGTGATTGCCAAGGTTGACGCTACCGCCAACGATGTTCCGGATGAGATCCAGGGCTTCCCTACCATCAAGCTGTACCCGGCTGGTGCCAAGGAGAACCCGGTCACCTACAGCGGTGCCCGCACTGTCGAGGATCTGGCCAAGTTCATTGCCGAGAACGGCAAGTACAAGGCTGCTGTTGAGGAGGAGGCTGAGGCTGAGACCCCTGTTGCCCCCGCGGCCACTGAGTCTGGCGCTGAGGAGGCTAAGGAGACCGACGTCCATGATGAGCTGTAAAAGGGGTTCCTGCGGGAGGGAACTCTTATGCCTGTATTATTTCCACGCGTCTCACGAGAAATCGCCCATGGGAGCTGGTTTCATCTTTTCCACTGGCTTTAGGGTATAAAGTCGTTGCGACATGGGTCAAAATATCTACGGTAGCTGCGGTAATCAGATTGGCTGTGAAATGAACTGTATTTCTGTCTAGACTAAGCAATGTGTTTCCTTGATCACATACTTCAATCGTGACGTCTTTTGCTTAACAACGTATCTTCCTAATTCCGCTTGACAATGTGTATAGTAAGTATGAGGGGCCACGTTGGCCCGTGAAACCGGTAATTTCCAATTCTGCCCTGTGGCACCGCCCGGAGCTACCTAATCGGCCGCCATTCGATTTGTCGCAGCTTCGGTTGTGAGGTCACCTGTGACTACCAACCAAGCTTAGGTGTGTTAGTGCCAGCTACCAGTCGCTGTCGCGCAGTATAAGGTCGGCATTCTAGTGCCCGCCACAGCTCCCCTCAAGTACCTCCTGACCAACCCGACCCGAGATCAACCCGAGCAAGCTTCCAACTCCAACGCCAACTTCCTCCTCGATTCCTCTCCAACCATCACCGCAACACACCCTTCCGACACACGCACAATGGCTTCCCGAATACTCTCCTCAGGGGCACGAGCCCTCTCCCAACCCTCTCCGGCACTCCGCGCAGCAAGAAACTTCCAGACTTCGGCTAGGCTGCTCGATGCTGCCCCAGCTGCTCCACTGCCGGCTCGCAAGCCGGTAGGCGCCTTTCGCGGAGGGTACGGACAGTTGATCCCTTCGACATGGTTCTAGGGCATTGATGGACTAACTCGAGATTTTGGCAGACTCTTTGGCTTCTTATTGGGAGCTACTGCTGCTGGCAGCGGCGTCTACTACTATATTCTGCAAGAGTACAAAGCGTCCAACGAACTGTTGACGGAGGACATTTTTGTACGTTTCTGCAATTCGCTTTCCTTCCCAATCAATGTCTCTGTCTTGATTACGTCTGCATATACCATGGCTATGACTCTATTGCATGAGAAAAGGCTGGCCTCATTGCGCGCTCTTGATGAATTAAAATTTCGGCAACCCTCAAACATGCATTGGCTGACTCTACATGGGCACAGGCTCTCCAAGCTGCGACGCAACGCATGAGCAACTACCTCACTACTCTGGAAGAGAAGATAGACGCGGTCGATCGCAAGAAGAAATAAGCAGACGACTGTGGATGGAGCAATTGGAGTTCCTCGGAGGATACACGGAAAACGGTTTCGATGGCCGGGGTGGATGTATATTGAGGCTGTACAATATTCGCTCAACCTTCTGTATTGACGACGTCTCTTATGTCGCGAGCAAGCATTTCTGGTATTTGCCAATTGACCAAACGTGTGCGGATTAGTAACGGCCGTCCTCGCGTGCCTGTTCCGATACCTTGATGAGTGATGCAGTGCATGTTTCGTGAGCTCACTTCAAGCACCATACTACGCTGATTGATAAGCTCTACTTGAGCCTCTAAATAAGCGATCTATCAAAGTTCTTCAACCTGCGAGTCTTCCTTTGTTTACAGCCTACTATTGCGTCGAACTCTCTCAATGACAAAGAGTTGGGTACGCAATCCGGGGGGTGTGGAGGTGGGCCTGCCGGCAAATCGCGGGGAGACAAGACAAGCTACTGTGCGGTAGCACAGCACATGCGGTCCGGTCACTCTTCAAATTTCCCTCCCGAATCTCCTTCCACAACCAACTACTACCGACAAGATCGCCCACCCCCAACCCACCACGATGAATAACTTCGGGGTAATAGAGGTCGCCAGCACCAGGACGACCCACGCCCCGGGATGGGCATACATCCCAGACCTGACTGCTAGCGCCGCCGCTCTCCAGCAACAACAGCAGCAGCAGCCCACGAGCCGCAAGCGCGCCCGCAACCAGCCCGCGCTCAGCTCCTCGGACGTGTCGGCGCGGCACGACGCCCGCGTGCAGAAGGAGCTCGCGCAGCTCAACCGAGACAACTTCAAGGACGTGAGCATCGCGGTGCCGCCCAAGACGGCGCGGGCGGCGGCCCAGAGCAAGAGCACGCCCAACGTGCGCAAGATCCTCGCCTCGCAGAAGACCTTCGCCAACCACCTCGACGACTTCGAGGCCCAGAAGGCGCAGCTCGAGAACAACCCGGCTGCTGCGGCCGCTGCTGCCGCGAACCAGGCCCTCATTGCCCGCACGCAACAGCAGCTGCTGTCCACCAAGCCGCCGTCGAGCTCGAAGCGATCCGGCGGGCATAAGAAGGCCCCGCCGAAGGTCGAGGCAGCCGAGGATGTCGAGATGGCCGACGCCGCTGCCCCGAGCGTGCTGCCCACGGATCCGGAATCTGCCATCCTCGCGCCGTACACCAAGCAGCCGCCGGCAGCGCATCCCGCCGACGCGGATCCCCTTCTCGAGACCAACTCCTGGGTGCCGCCCTTACCAACGGACGACGAGCTGCGGGAGCTGATGACCGCCTTGCCGCTCAACTACAACCAGGCGCGAGGCACATGGGGTCCCGACGACGCACGGTATCCGCCAAGGCATTTCTGTGAGCTGTGCGGATATTGGGGCCGTGTGCGGTGTATGAAGTGCGGGACGCGCGTCTGCGCCTTGGATTGTCTGGAGCTGCACCGCGAGGAGTGCGTTACGCGGTTTGGCTACTGATGGGGAAATAGAATTTGATCTGCCAGTGCTTATTAAAGTCAGATTCTGGTCAGAGAGCTTATGGCCCCTGGGCTTACAGAGTATGGAGAAACTCAGCTTATTTTACGGTATCTTGGCATGGCAGGCGTTCACTTGATCATCAAAATATTATGATACCCAGGTATGGTGAAAAAAGGGATAGAGATAGGCGTTCACAAAGTCACATAGAATATATGTTCACACCAGCGTAAGATGACCAGCTTGGTGCCGGTTATGTATATTTGTCATCTATAATTTGAGTATTTTGAGATTTTTTTGGAGAAGCTTTGCCTTATCATTCGTGTTGTTGTACATGATCGCCCATCATGAGAGTTGATCCTGCCATCCTCTATTTAATCAACAGAACGCCCCATTTCCCGTATATAACCGGTTTTCCAATTCATGTATTTCCCAATTCCTGTGGCATGCGGCGAGGGGAAGAGAGTCAGATCAAGGAAGAACCTTAGGGTCTGCCTCCTTGTTGAAGGTATCCGGCTCAGGGGTTGGCCAATGTGAAGGCAACGTTGCCCGTGCTTGCACCGCCGACACACGTGCCGCTCATGCTGCCGGTTGGGCAGACAGCTCTCGCGGCACGGATACACTGCTCCCACCTGCCCTTGGAGATGTTGATGGTGGCTCCACTGTCGACGGCGTTGAGAGAGAACTTGGCCGTCCCTGACTGGCCCACTGTGCTTGTTGGTGCGCCGCCACACTTCGTGATAGCGCCTGCAATGCCTCCGCAAATACCCAGCTCCGCAACGTTCTGATCATGAAAGACGATGTTCCTATGTGGGTGTTAGAATGCAGTCATTCGAGAAAAGGGGAATGCTGTTTGGTCATACTGGCTGCGGTCCTGGCATGTTACACCGGTTACAGCGTCAGGGTTGACTGAAGTTGATGCTCGCATTTGCAGAACCTCGAAATGTTGTTGCGGGACATAGACTCGAGGAAAGCCAGAGGGCATGGCAGCCACGCAGCTGAAGAAGACCAAGAGGGTCTGAAAAACAACGGAAACGGAGATCATCTTGAAGATACTGTTTTTGGTATACGTAATACGCGGGTATCGTGTGAATTGGTCCGTGGTTGATATAAGAAAATATGAGAATTTGAAGCAAATGACTTCAAGCCAGATGACAGTTAAAAGGCGAAAAAGGAAGAAAAAGGACTTGTTGAAATAAGACACCCAGGTCCAAAAGAGAAAAGAATGAACGATCACAGATCTCGTGGTCAAGAATGGAAAAGGACAAGAGAATGAAAAGATGGTTGGCGTTCTCTGCAAGAGAGCTGTAGACTCGTGGAGATGGGGATAAGATGGACAAAACTACTCCAGACGGCATACCAACGGTTTTCTACAACTCAGACGAACCACAGACGATAGACCAGGATCTATACCCTGGATTGCTTGCGTAACTCACTGCCACGGCCGCGTGAAGGCCCTTGGCAGGAGGCTGCTCCCATACATCCGAGCCCAAAGAGGCGAGGAGCAGCGATTGGGGAGCTGGCCAACTTTGCCCTGCCATCCCAGCGCATGGGAAACCAGGGGAAGTGGCCCTTCCCTAATGGAGATCGCTTGATCCTAGTGTTGCTCCCTCATGCGACGTCCAAAGCTTCCGTGGCTGATCTATGGAACCATTAGCACCGCAGCAGGGTCAACGTGTCTTGATAGGGCGGGGGTTGAAGAGATGAAACATCCTGGGTTACTGATTGAGTTGGGCCATGCCAGTCGGGGCTTCTGCGAACACTACCGGCAGTGGGCCTAGCGCAGCGTTTCCCCGGTAGAGGCTTGCAAGCCAATGGTTGAGCCGCAGTGCTGCTTACGATTCCTCACCGCACGCCCAGGCGTACCAACTCCCCGACATCTTGAAACGTCTCCCTAGCAGTCGCGGCACATCCATTTCAGTCGATGCACCAGCAACGGTGCTAGCCCTTGATAATCCGCTACTCTCTGGATTTCATATTTGTTACTACCCATACTGGCCGCCCTGCGCAGCTGTATCATACAGACAGCGGTTAGGTTGAATAGCTAACAGGTTGCTTACAAGGCTAGGGTTGTTCATCCATTCTTCTCCAACAACTACCACCTGCTAACCTCTTGATGCCCACCCTGGCAAATGGGAGGCATTCCATCGAATGCTCTGCGTCTCCACGAGCCATCAATTGCTAGTGTGATCTCACTATCCCATGAACACAACATGATCTTCCCAAGGCTCTGCGACACCCAAAGGGCAACCGAGATGAGTGTGCAGAACAATGGCTGTGCGAGCAAAATGTTCGTCCCAACTCTGTAGATCCGGGTCACTTGCCTTGCCCTGCCCTGCACAATCTGAACTATGCGATCAGTCAATCCACTGTAGAGAAAGTGCTGCTCAGCCATTCAAGTCTTTTCGTTGCCCACAGATTCCACAGACTCCACAGTCGCCTGCATTCAGATAAATGCTTTCCTTGCAACTCGGTTTTTCGCATTTCCACGAACCAGGGACGCTCTCTGCATCAAGAACATTGGAGCACATGCTGCAAGTAATCGATAGTGGTTCGTTCGTGAATGAGCAGATGGGACACTCCCGTCCTGCACCAGCGTCTGAAGAAGATTGAAGCGTTGTACGCTTGTTGACAGATTGCGTGCTTTTTGATATGATTGTTCGTGAGGGAGATCTCCTGTTGTCGCTCTGCAGTGTAACATCGATCTGCTCTGCGTCCCGCTTCCCGCTGTGCGCTCGGTCTTGTTTCTTCGATGATGATTGGGATGTGCTCGTAGATCCAAACTCAGCACCGGCGGTTCTCACCTGTGACAGGGGCTTGTTTCGTAGTGACGATTGGAGTTCCTTTAACTCCTGCTGTGCGTCCTGGTCATTTGTATTCTCATCCTCGCAGACTTTGACCATTCGATGACCTTTGCCATCAAGAAGTTTGGTGCCATTGATGTCAATAGCATCATTGCTGATGTCGAAGCTTCCATCTTCGTAGTCGCTCTCAGACTGGGTCTCAGAGTCACTGACGGTCTCATCGTCATCCACATCCACGACATAGTGCTTCTCTACGCCCGTCTCTTTCGATTGCTGTTCAAATCTTGCCAAAGCAGCCGCAGCCCGAAGTTCTCTCCCTCGATTGCTCCCAGCAATACGGGGTTTTGCCGCTATAGTCTTCCCCTTCTCGAGTTTCCGCTTTGTGGCATCGTCACCTCCCAAAGCGACTCCATTCGCTCCAAACTTCTTCAGAATCCGCCGCTCCTTCTTCTCCTGATAGGTGAGGTCCTTCTTAGCCTTACGCTTACGCCGTCGTGATCGATAGGTACCGCCGCACAGATGCTCTGGCAAGGCTTCGTCTGGCGATATGGTGTTCCTCTCGAACTCGCCCGAACTAAGAAGAGCCCCGCGTCCCCACAGACCATCTCCAGTGTAGCCGCGAGTCCAAAGCTTCTTCATCTGCTCAGCATACTGGTTTCGGACGGCCCAGAACGCCCTGGAGTGGTTCATTTGCTTGCAATGCGCCAGTTCGTGCATCATGACCATCTGCACGTAGTTGAAAGGCAGCCAGTGCCCCGAGCGTGCCTTGAGTACCAGCTGAATGATCTCTCCAGCATTAAAATTGCGACCGACGAACTCTCGGTTTGGCTCATACTCTTCCAGTGTCATCACCGAGAGACTGTGCTCTTTCATTATAGGTACTGCCCAACGTGATTAGCATGGACTGACATTGTAATTGATCACTTGGAGGCCTTACAGCATTGCGCCGCTATCCGCTCAAGAAAATCTTGTGCGATCGGTCCATCCGGGCCCTTCAGCGGCTTGATAAAAATGATGCGCTCATTTGGTTGTGTCTTCTTAGCGTTGAGACGCTGAATGCCGACAGGCATATTCGATTCCGTTACTTCCCTTCCGTGGTTATTAGTTCACTACCGAGCGTGTGGCTTTTTCTACGTCCCGCGGAGCAGAGTTCCTTATTAACTGTACCGGAGGCAGATGAATGCAGCCGAGATCGAATAATAGTAAGTTCCAGAAGATTTGCCGAAGAGACGCGCTTCGTGAATTGTACGTTGTAGAATGACTCGTCAAAGGAAGCTCTCGGTAGCGGGAGGGGCGAGTCTTACGCGCTGTCACATGACATCACTTAAAAGGAGGTGAAAGGGTCAAACGACTCAACTTATAAAGCACCCAAATAAAGAAGTACGGGCCCTAGTTATTATTATTAGAGTAAAAATGTAGCCTCACATGGTAAGAGTGTTTAAGGGCTTAGCAGGCAGTTGGAAGTGACCTCGGTGAAGGCAAACATAGTTATCGAGTCTCTTGAACACTTAATGGGTGAAAGACGAAAAATATGCCTTTGGCCGTCATACTATACTGTAATTTTAATTTAGCATCAATATAACCGTTTCATCGTCTTCTACCGGCGCCAGCTCCTGTACCACCACCAGTGGCCCTATCAGCAAGAGACACAACCTCTCCTATACCAGCAGCCTCTTGCTCATCTTCCAGAGCAGTAATTTCCTCACGACAATCCCACCACTTCTCCTCGCTCAACTCAAATGCCCTTGTTTTGATTTCTTTGACAGACAGACTTTCCGGCTGGATATTCTTCCATCTTAGACTTAGCATGAGAATCTCTTGCCATTCGTTGGATGTCCTCTGAAAGAAATCCCGTCGAGATTCAAATGGCTGTGGTTATTAGCTGTGATTTCATCAATTTTAAGATATGTAGGAGACATACTCTAGGATGTGGAAGGCCGTCGTCAACTGACGTGGCAGTCGTGTCAGCTTCACTTTCCTCTTCTTCAGAAATCGACGTTGATGCCGATGAATCCGTGCTAGCTTCCGAGAGCTCGTCCGCCTGCTTCTTCTTCCGCTTGCTTGGTGAGAAGCTTTTCGGTTCATCATCTTCCATTTCGATATCCTCATCCTCTTCATCGTCCATGTCCTCGTCTTCGTCGTCTTCGTCATCCTCCTCATCCTCGGACTCCTATCAAATTCAGTAATTGCAGCAAGGACAGGTCCATGATATCTTCGGCGAAACTTACAATCCAGTCCTCGACCGGCCGAGTGAATATCTCTTTACAGCCATCCATCTTACCGAGATCGACGGCGTACAAATCATCGAAAGTGAATTCCCTATCCCCTTTCTCAAATGTGCCACCATAAATATACAGTACATCATCCTGCACAGCTAGCTGCGCATTGAATCTCGGATGCGGCAGATCCATCGTTACAGGCATTTCTCGTAGCGGTTTCTCGTCTTCATCCGGCTCAGCAGCCGTCTTGTCGAGCTCCATCGTATCAGCATCTTCTATACTAGCGCCTGTCTCGAGGGCTGCCAGCTGTCGTAGTAGCTCCTCTTCTCTATCCTGTGCTCTAGCACGTCTGCCACCTCGCTGTTCTGCTGGCGCTTTTTTCTGTGTTCGAGCCTTGCGCAATGTCAACGGGAAGAAGCGGTTGCGCTCGATATTCCACGCAAATAGGCCGTTGAAGAATTCACTGTCCATTCCCTCCTCGCTCTCTTCTACATCATGCACTCCGCCAAACAGGATCCCTCTTCCCTTGTGGAAAGCCATCGTGGTGCCAGCACGCTTAGGCTCGGGTGTGTTGGCTGGCTTCTTGCGCTTCTCCCATCGCACTGTGGGAGGTGTATTTGGCGGCGCATCCGCTGGTGGCTGCGTAATTCTCAAGAAGTAGCAGTCTTGATGGATCATAGGCTTGAGGATATTTCTTTGTCCCTGTGACCCAGACTTTGCTTGCTTGTTGGCGGCAACCGTGGCCTTGACACGTGAATAACCACCGTACAACACCGCACCCTGCTCGTGAGGGAGGAAAGTGAACGATGATCGCGCATCAGGTTTCAGCTGTGCCGGCGGCAAGGTCGGGTTGAACCAGACGAAGTTCTGAGTGTCGTATAGCCATAGGTCGGCAAGATACTTGGTCTGATTCGCAGTATCCTGGAAGCCGCCAAAGAGAATAATGTAATTCTTGTAATACGTCATGCGGTGACCGCTCCTAGCTGGAGGTGTCTTGCCTTTGGGTTCCAGTCGCATCCATTCTCTCGTGTTTGGTTCGAGACGCCAAAAATCATTGTAATGGTAGAATGTACCTTGCTTGGGAGAGCTGAATTCACCGCCGAAGAGGTAGACGAAGTTTGCCTGGTTCCCACCTCTGCACCAGGCATGTCCTGACCGTGGGAGGGGCGCATTAGGGGATGTGACTGTGCGCCATTCATCACGATCAACATAGTAGATATGCAAATCATTGAAGAATGTCGCCAGGGCGCCATTAAAATACTCCCCACCAAATAGCAGCAGCTGGTTGCTGTTTGAAGGCGAAGCCAGGAAGGTTGATGCCGACCGCGGCTTTGGGGGGCCCTCCGCCACCGTTTCCGTGATCTTGAGAAATTGTTCCTGCTGTCTCTTATACTCCTCAAGCACTTGGTCTAGGTCAACGTCTTCGGCATCACTGCCGTCCATTTTAGCTGCCTTGGTCTTGGCCTTCTTCTCGCCCTTCTTCTCCTGCTTCTGCTTCTTTTCGGCGAGTTTGGCCTTCTTGGCCTCACTCTTCCCTTTCTTGTCTTTCGCCATGCTGGAAAAGAAGTCAGATTTTGTCGAGGTTGAAAAAACCACTTTACGTCACTTCAGTTGGCTCTTCCATGGTCTGCACTCTCTGTTGTGGAGAAGATGGATTTTTTGGCGATGCTTTTGGTTGGTTCACGTGGTTCAGTGAAGTCTAGCACCAATTGCCGCAAATCTTCTAGGTGCATTGGAACACTCTGAAATTGTTCCCTGTCTTCTTTGAATACTGAAAGCTTTTGGTCGCAATCCACATTGTATATTGTCCTTTGACATGTATCATCGGGATTGGCTGCTGAATTTGGATAACAAGCGACAATTCTATAAAGCTACCGACATGGATGGCTAACTCTTAGGATAGGTCACTTTCGTACTAATAACACACTGAATAGCTCATGTATTACGATGTTTCCTGACTGTACTGGATTTTGAGAAACATCATTACGCTCATGGAAGGTCGATCAATGGTGTTGGTGAAAGTGGATCACGTTATGTACCCCTGGCACTACCATTCCTTCGAGTCTCTACAGCCATGGATCTATCTTTCTTTTTTCAACACGGTGACCCTGACGAAGCACCACTTTCATACAATGCTATTATCGATCAATCCATAGCGAAATTGGCCCGGAACATTGCTCGCCCCTTCATGACTCTAGGCTGTCTACTAATAAACTCGGCAGCGCGTACCGTGGTTTGATCAATCTAAATTGGCACATCTATCAAGCTCCGAACCTGTGCAGCTCGTGCGAGCGATAGGGGAGCCAGGTCTTGTGTAGATCTACTCACTCTGGCAAGCCACAGATGTTGAGTCAGGTTGGTCTGAGAGCACACGGGGCACACAAGAAGGTGGAAACCTAGTATTAGTCTCCGTCATGTCAAGGCAGAACGCCCCAAAGAATTTACATCGACGAGCACAGTGCTTTCGCGACTACACATATTGGCATTTCAAGGTTCCATACACAAATGCTTTCTTCACAAGCTAAGCAAAGGGGGCCTTTTCAACTTCACAGGTTTACCATAATGCCAAGCCAATGTCACACATCACGGGCAAGGGAATAGAATGTGGCAGATGCCGGCGACGCAAAGAATTGGCAAAGTCACAATCAAGGATAGCTAAGCGCACACGGAGGAACCAAGATCACGAGTCGATTCAATCAATAGGCTTCATCATAACTACAATTATTGGGTGGACAGCACACTCACGCATGGATCTGTCTTCTGCACAACACGGGTATAGACATAGCAGTAGGAGATGTTCCACGAGAACGCGAGGCAGAGAGACCATGGGAACTTCACGAAGAAGTTGGTCAATCCATACAATCGCGCCCAAGAGGGTTAATCTTGAACATGACGGTGTTCAGCCGGGGACGGTACAAGCCAATGGGCCGTCAGGTTATCTGACGATATCCTGACGCCGACAAGACCGGGACTCAGAGAGTCAGTTCGTTTGAAGGAAAAGAACAAAACAGACGGGAGACACAATGCAGGCGAGCGTGCTGTTTTGTTCAACTCTGGTTGCTGAATTGCAACTGCTTCTAACAGGGTATTTTGTAACAAGAAGCAACTGCACTTGAGATCACTAGAGAGGGTCAGTCGTCGGGGATGCAGGTGCGCTCGTTACGATGCCTCAGTGTGAGGCCAGCTGGAGTGGGAAAGAATGACCAGCAAGCCTTCTGGCCGATGGCTGACATTACATTAGCCTGGCTCGAGACAAATAGTCAACGGCACAGAGGATGGCAGACATTTCCTATGGGACCCGCTGGCAGTGAAGTAGTTTTGAGTCTGCTGGACATCCAAGTGTAGTCAAGATACCACTGGGTTTGACTGTGGAGATTATCAAGATAAATCCATGGCTGGTGAATGATGAATACGGAAAGTGAAGTATCCATTGGTGGCGAGTTGACAGCTAAATAGTGTGATCGTATTTGTGTCCTTCGTGCGCATGCCAGCCAGGTTTCCGGAGGCCGTTGAAAGTAGTTTCCCTTCGCCTCTATTTTCATAGTGGTCAATCTTGGAGAGATCGTTGTAGTTAGTTGACTGCACTCGCAACTGCCAAAGTGACGAGACCATGGACAACACTTGCCACCTGCCAGCCCCTTTCCTTCCGCACTCTTCAGATCTCTTTACCACAGAAGGAACTACTTAACGCCTAGGGCTGCAAATACACAAATGCAATCGACAGAGTCAATCGACCTTGTCAACTTCTCGTACCAGTCACCACCGCCACGTAGCAGTAGGCGTACTTCTGTTATCATAGCCACACTTGCTGGAAATGAGTTTCCGCTTTCCTTATTCCTTATCTATTTCCACACGTTGTGTACCGCATCAGGCGAACTTTCACCTTTATGGCATGTTGGTCCCAATGGTTAGGTGTCAGATTAAGTCCTCTGATAAAGCTTAGATGGGAATGTGAAGTCAGGCTATAATGTGCACCATTCTTGTAATTTGGAGAACGAGGCTCCCTTCCCCAAGCACTTATTCTACTTTCTCTGGCCCCAAGTAGAACCTCAACATGGCTGAGCCTTGGAAGGACAAGCAAATCATTCACTCGGCCCAAAGCCAAGTTAGGTCGCAAGGCTTTGATCGACAACGGCAACGACCGCCAGTGTCAAGGACCCCCGGTGTATCACAGCCTGTGAGTCTCTATCAAGCCAGAAAGTCGGATATTAAAACCAGGTTGCCCATCCGACGTTCAACCTCGCAATCCATAACAAAGTAGAGCTCCCGCGCCCTGAGGAGGAGCAACAAGCTGGAAATGCGAAAATGATCGCCGATGCAAACAGCAGACGACAGCAGCAATCGATTCCAGCAGGGGCACCCAACAATGGTTTACAACTAGGCTCGATAACTATCAGTATGTAGTCACTGACCTCTACTTGCTTGACATTTTCATGGGTTGTTAACACTTGACGAACAGGCGAAAATAAAGCTACCAGTATGTAGTCATTAGCTTGTATCTGCTTGACATTTATGGCAATCTGTTGACACTTCATGAACAGGCGAAAATGTAGCTGCCTCTAAGTTACAACGTAACTATGTTATGAACAAAGACCTTATAAGCCGAGCGAAGGACGCAGCGATCACGAGGAACGAGGCGAAAGATACAACTCAGAATAATATCATATGTGATGCGGAGACACTACAGATGCTGCTTGCTAATGGAATTGAGTTGTGAAGTCATCTTCACAGTGACGAGTAGCTATCATCAGGGTGGGGAATGGCACAAATAAATTGACAATCATAAGGCGGCTTTCAGGAGGGTTACGCAGAGGGCTTTTCGCCACTGGACATTTATGTATTATCGGAGTAGTGTATGTTGCGCCAACTTGGGCACAAACAAGCTAAATCTAGAGACGATGCTGCCATCTCAGATTGTTCTCAGCTGAAAATGTCAATCGACCCATCTTGATAGATTGCCGGGATGTGTGTGGTCTACGATCACGCACCGTAGCCATTCTCCTTGACCCACGATGCAACATCAGCTCGATCGCGCTCCAGCCACGCGATCTTGGAGCGGATAGCATCCAGACTCTGGGCAAGTGACTGGTCGTAACCCTTAGTGTCCTTGTCCGCGAAGAACTTCTCCACTCGAGCAAGCTGCTGGGGATTTGTGAAGCTCGAGGTGAAAATCGTCACCATAGAGCCGAGCATAGACAGGGCAGGCGGGAGTCTCTTGTAGAGCTCGTCCCAGTTCTCAGTCATCCAATCGAATAGGGCTTCAATACCCTCCGGATGGCTACGTAGGCCAGCAGCAGGCATGTAGATATCCTGATCCTTGACCTCACCTCCAAAGAGCATGCCCAATGTCCTCTGGATCAGCTCGGGGTCCTTAGCGCGGCCCAGGCAGCGCAATGCCGTGTTACGCTCGTCGCTGTTGTTAGACGTCCGGTAGAAGTTGAGAATCTTCTCATACTGCAAAAGTTGTTAGCTGCCAGTCTCACACAAGAGCTTGCGATCTTACCTCTTCCTTGCCGCCATACTTTAGGGCCATGCCGAAGACGCTGCCGCGGATATTCGGGTGAATGGCAGACTTGTCGCCAGCCATATATTTGTTGAACATCTCCTTGGCACTGGTGATAATGGCCTGGTCACCAGAGAGACCGGCACTGCCGAACATCATCGCCTTGAATTGCTGCTGAATATGGCCGTCCTCTTCCGAGAATGTCCAACCCATCGCGTGAGCCTTGGCGCTTACAATTTCTCTCTGGAAAGCTTCTAGACCATCACGAATGGCCTTGTCCTCAAAGATGAAGGCGCTCTGAATAGCGGACAGACGGGCAATGATCTCGTTCCATACGACAAATTCTGACTCCGAGTCAAACCCTTTCAGAAGGCTCAAAACACCAGAGGTTTTCTGGTATCCAGAGACAGCCAGAGCACCTGCATCTGCGATCATGCCAGCGCGATCCTCAATTGGCAGCAGTCCTTCCTTGGCTGCAAGGCCGAGCTTCTCTAGACGCTCGGGAGAGTAAGAGGTACGATAAAGGCTTGTGTGGTTTGCGTTCAGCTTGAAGAATTCGGTGCTTGGCAGACTGAAGTCGGCCTCCCTTTTGTCTAAAGTCAGAGACTCATCAACGCCATCCTTGGTGCGAAGTCCAAGGAAGACGGGGTATAGAACTTTGTCCTCCTCGGGCTTGACGTCTCCAGTTCGCAAGAAACGGTTCTGCTTCACATGGATCGCGTTGTCCTTCTCGGTGACAGTCACCACAGGATAACCGACATTCTTTGTCCATGTGGTCATCACATCCTCTACCTTCTTACCACTGGCGTCAGCCAGAGAAGCCCAGAGGTCGCCCGTTTGTGTATTGCCATACGCATGCTTCTTGAGATATCTGCGAACACCCTCAAGGAAGGTATCCTCACCGAGATAGCTTGAGATCATACGGAGAACGCAAGAACCCTTGGAGTACGAGATAGCGTCAAAGATCTGATTAATCTCATCTGCTTTCTTTACTGGTACCTCGATGGGGTGGCTGCTTCTCAATGAATCCAGAGCCAAGGCGCTTTGGAGTGTATCGGTCACATATGTCTGCCATACCTTCCACTCTGGGTAGAAAACATTGCAGGAGTACCAGGATGCCCAGGTGGCGAAACCTTCGTTCAGCCACAAGCCATCCCACCAGTCCATTGTGACGAGGTTGCCAAACCATTGGTGAGCTAACTCGTGCTGGACGACCTCCGCAACCCTCTCCTTGGTTGCCGCACCGCTGGCCTTCTCGTCAAGAAGGAGATCGACGACACGGTAAGTCACCAGGCCCCAGTTCTCCATAGCGCCTTGAGCGAAATCAGGAATAGCAACTTGGTCCATCTTAGGCAGGGGGAACTCGATACCGAAAACCTTCTCGTAGAACGCAAGAGTCTGGGCAGCGAGCTTAAGAGAGAAGCGACCGTGTTCAATGTCCTGACCAGGTGGTGCGTAGACGCGGACTGGGACACGGAAATCGGTACTCTCAATGTAATTGAGCTTACCGACGATGAAGGCGACGAGGTAGGTTGACATCAAGGGAGAGACATTGAACTTGACAGCCTTCTTTGCGCCGACCTCGGTCTCCGAAGCGACGTCCATGTTGCTCAAGCAGGTCAGGTCCTTCTCGGCGATGAGTGTGACAGTGAATTTCGCTTTCAGGGACGGCTCGTCGAAGCAGGGGAAAGCTCTCCGGGCATCAGTCGGCTCCATCTGCGTGGTGGCCAGGACACCATTGGTGCCATCTGGGTTCTTGTAGCTCGATCGGTAGAAGCCAGCCATCTTGTCGTTAAGTTGGCCGGTGAACTTGATCTCAAGCTGCGCCTTGCTGCCCTTCGGGATGGCATCGGAGAAGTCGAACTTCGAGACCTGTGTGGATTCATCGTAGGTTATCTCCGGGGAGGAGCTATAAGGGGCGAGGTGTCAGCGTATTTGTATAGAAGTAGCGGATATGAAGAAAGGTATAGTTGCTTACCTCACGGTCTTGCCATCGGAGGATACCTTGGCGCTGTGGATGTCCAGCTCCAAAGTGTGCAGGGAAATGGACTTAGAGTCCTCTTCCACATCAAGATCAATGACGACAGTGCCATCGAAGGTGAACTTCTCGAAGTCGGGCTCAAGCGTCAGATCGTAGTGTTGAGGCACGACGTTCGCGGGGAGGAGCTCTCGTCCCTGGACGTTGACCCCACCTCCATTCTCGGCAGCAGCAGCGGTTCTGCACATGGTATTTCGCCGATAGGAACAAAAGCGGATCGGCACGTTGCGCAGGGGACTCCGTCGGCAGCGATTGACGACAAATTGGGGTGAAGCAGGAGAAACAACGGTGTAAGACCTCGCAGCGGGAGGTAGAGAAGCAGTAATCCTGTCGGTCAGTTAGTCGCGGGGTCAGAGGGGACAATTGACTGGGTCGGGCCAAGGCTGGACGGGCTCTGGTCTGGGGACTGCAGCTCGATGCAGCCTCGACGGTCAAAACCTACCGAAAAAGTTTTGCGCCGTGGTTGCGCGACAGGCTCAGCGGCGAGACAGCTCTGGTAACGACACGAGACGAAGAGGCAATGGATATAAGACAGGGCAAAGACATGATTTACAAAGAATGGATGCGGGAGCGAAGCTCCCAGCTAAGAGGTAGATATTACATGTAATGCGGAGTGTGGAAGGTGGTAGCCCAATGTGCCCCGTACATTGATGAGCGACTGACTTAGCTACTGCGCAGCAGAAGCCTCGCGTGACAGAGATCAAGCTGCATGAGGCGTCAATTTGCTGGGGCCCGGGCGCAAGAAGGCAGCCCTGGAGCACCGGCTTGGCGGCTCCCGGCCTATCAACAAACGCTGTGCAGGGCGACCCCCGCCCTGAAGCACCTAAACTGCTCTTATTCCAGAAGGTGGCCGATCTGCTTTCGCCATGGCTACCTAATCCTCCACAATCCTACATAACATGTTATGAGGTAGCAGGACCTCGAATCAACCCAGAACAACCACACTTATGTTCTGTAATATACCGACCTTGTCTGTCTGTGCCTAATATACTGAGGGTGAAAGATGGTGGGTAAGCCTGACGGGTCGGCACCTGCGACCTGGGATCTATATCACATCCACCAGCTCCGCTCCTAGCCGCACCACGCACTGCATCTTGTAGCGTGTTGAGAGACAGGCATCCAGTCTCAGTCGCAAGTGCACGCCTTACATATATCTGCCTAGGTAGGTAGGTATGGCAGCTGTAAGTGCTATTTGGCTGAGGTAGTCAGATCCGAATCGAGAAGGTAGATAGCTTTGCTCAAGGCAGTTGATTTGATTTTGGTGTACCGTTGAGCGACCCTGGCCGCGCAGAGCATTTACTTCAACCCCGTCATCGACCTGGAACGACCAGCTTCAGGTTCAGGGGTCTCGCATCTAGGGTCAGCAATATCGATCTTAGAGCCCTTTCAATACCGATTACTTGCATGACTGAGGCCCATTGACCTGAGACTAAGTGCAGTGCGTACCCATAGATACCTTGCCAGCCGCTACCCGTCATTGAAGTGACATGTTGTTACTAAACGTTTCAAGTCTTCATGGCATTCATATATTCGGTGTGCTCGTCTCGTCAAGATGCTGATCGCTTGTCAAGTTTGCCAATCAAGCTAGTATTACTGATTGATTGGCCTACAAAAATTAGCTATATGATAGCCACAAGCAACCAGAGCCTACTGTGTATATGGTGTGAACTATCAGGAGCAATGACTGGAAAAAGCGTATATTACTTGCCCTCCCAAGTCTCAAGTCTCCAGAGTGGTGGGGCTTGATTAAGTTGTCCTACAACTTCGAGGTTGAGATTGCAAGTGATGTATTTACAATGAGATCATAAGACTGAGCCGCGAGTGGGACCGAACTGGCGGGATGAGAGGTCTAGTAGTAGGTCAACAGCATTAACGAAATAGCGAAAACCCACACCTGTTTTCACCGATCGCATTTCGGCGAAGTGACAGGATGGGTATCTGTGACGACCACCTTGATGGCCTACCAAGTGTCATGCAAACGGACCCCTTCCTCCTCGGACTGGGCGTTGGAATCATGCAATTGGAACAGAGTCTGGACTCATGCAGGATAGCAATCAGAACGGCAATGGGTGCTTCCCAACCGCCGCACATCCGCAAGCCTCTGAGAGATACGAGACTGACACAGTCCAGCTTGGAAGAAAAGTTTTTGCCAGAGTCGCTCCGAGAGCGGTGTGATTCTCGAAGCAAACAACGAGACATTCTGGTCAGTTTATGAGATGCAAGATTTTTCTCTGAGCGTATCGGGCCGCCTGAGCCCTGCCCCGTTTCTAACGTTGGCCCTCCAATGCGGTAGGCTCGATTTGAGGTGAAATGGGTAGCGTAGAAAGTACTAGCCTTCTGTTACAGGAAGTGGGTTTCTTGGATAATGACCAAGCGTTGAGAGGCCATACTCACTAACAGCGATGCAGTAGCTTAGACGGATTGCATCACGGTTGTCACCCCACCAAAATGGTGCAACTTCCTGACATCCCCTCCATCCCGCCAACAAAACATACATACCTACCCCGCCGAGAAGCTCTAAAAAGCACTTCTCTCCCACCAAACACTTCTTGATACCATCCTCCAATTCTGTCTCTTCTCTTGATACACCTGTCTATCACTGCTTAGGATATCATCCCTAGGATCCAGAATATCATCAGGTATGCATCACTTGCACTTTCGCGCTTTTTCTTGATGTGGTCCGCGCTCCTGCACAGGTGTCATCCGCTCTCGTAATGGCCCAATCTCAGCTTTCTCTGAGCTTGCTTGAGGCATTATCGAATTATGACTCCCATCGTGTGGTTTGAGCTATTTTCATTGCCCTCGAAACACATTAAACAGACTATCACCCCTTCGTCCCATCCCTCTGCTTCATTTCCTTGCTCCTCTACTACTCAGGTCGAAATTCGTCTCAAGTCCCACAGGCAGCACTAACCACGCTTTTGGCAGAATCACATCAATCCTCGAGGTTTGTCTCACCATATTTGGGCGACTTGACAATTCATTTGCATGACAATATTCTAACAAGCCGCTCAAAGCAGTCAGATTAGCAAGTATGGCTATCACCAAGGTCCACGCGCGCACCGTCTACGACTCTCGTGGCAACCCCACCGTCGAGGTCGACCTCGTCACTGACACCGGCCTTCACCGTGCCATTGTCCCCTCTGGCGCCTCTACTGGTTCGTCATATCGGTTCTGTGTAACCGGATAAAAAAAGACTGATGGGATATCTACAGGTGTACACGAGGCTTGCGAACTCCGTGATGGAGACAAGTCTAAGTGGGGTGGCAAGGGTGTCACCAAGGCTGTCGCCAACGTCAACGACATCATCGGCCCTGCCCTGATCAAGGAGGGTCTTGATGTCAAGGACCAGTCCAAGGTTGATGAGTTCCTCATCAAGCTCGACGGCACCACAAACAAGACCAAGCTCGGTGCCAACGCCATTCTCGGTGTCAGCTTGGCTGTTGCCAAGGCCGGTGCTGCTGAGAAGGTTTGTGGTAACGGTCTGAACTGACGGAAATCACGGTACTAACTAATGACAGGGAGTCCCCCTCTACGCTCACGTTTCTGATCTCGCTGGAACCAAGAAGCCCTACGTTCTTCCCGTTCCGTTCATGAACGTTCTCAATGGAGGGTGAGTTGAGAACCCGCCCTGGTTTACAATGCGTACAGTGACTGATCACACACTAGATCTCACGCTGGTGGCCGCTTGGCCTTCCAGGAGTTCATGATCGTCCCTTCGTAAGTGTTACAGCTCGGTAAAGCAACTGGAGATACCATGCTAACTCGGCTCAGATCGGCTCCGTCATTTTCCGAGGCCCTGCGCCAGGGTGCGGAGGTCTACCAACTGCTGAAGGGTCTCGCCAAGAAGAAGTACGGCCAGTCCGCTGGCAATGTCGGAGACGAGGGTGGTGTTGCTCCCGATATCCAGACTGCCGAAGAGGCTCTGGACCTCATTACCGAGGCTATTGAGAAGGCGGGATATACCGGCAAGGTTCACATCGCTATGGATGTGGCATCCAGCGAGTTCTACAAGACTGAGGAGAAGAAGTACGACTTGGACTTCAAGAACCCTGACAGCGACCCGACTAAGTGGATCACCTACGAGCAGCTGGCCACCTTGTACGGTGAGCTCAGCAAGAAGTACCCCATCGTCAGCATTGAGGACCCCTTCGCTGAGGACGACTGGGAGGCCTGGAGCTACTTCTACAAGACTCAGGACATCCAGATTGTTGGCGATGATCTGACTGTCACCAACCCCCTCCGCATCAAGCAAGCTATTGAGCTCAAGGCTGCCAACGCCCTGCTGCTGAAGGTCAACCAGATCGGAACTTTGACCGAGTCTATCCAGGCTGCCAAGGACTCCTATGCCGACGGCTGGGGTGTCATGGTCTCTCACCGTTCTGGTGAGACTGAGGATGTCACCATCTCTGACATCGTCGTCGGTATCCGGGCTGGCCAGATCAAGACTGGTGCTCCTGCCAGATCTGAGCGCTTGGCCAAGCTCAACCAGATCCTGCGTATTGAGGAGGAGCTCGGCTCCAACGCCATCTATGCTGGCGAGAACTTCCGCAAGGCTGTCAACCTCTAAGCGGATCGCAGCTTATGCTTGCTATATGGAAATTGGAGATAAAAACTCCAACCTTTAATTAGGGGCGGTGTCACATGGTTAGCTTTGTTCGGAATCGGCTCAGGGATGGCTTATGAAAACGGCGACATGACATAGACAGAGAAAACGAATACTCTACTGAACAGAAATTGAAATGCCTTCGAGGCTGAAAGTGGAGCAATTGACCCTTGCGTGATCATTAAAAAATAGGAACTCTTCTTGAAACTGGTGACTTTGAAGTTGGCTGGCCCGTGCCCAGTTATGTGTTGCCAGAGCAACAGTGTTTCTTATCACCTTATCTAGCTCCAAATATCAACACGAGCTAGGCGCCCCTCGGATTCACTCCCATCATCAATACAGGTAGGGAAAGTCGCAAACAACACGGCGCGCGACTTCAAGATACAATTTGGTTTTGTTTAATATTACACGTCGCGATACTTGCGACCGTCGACACGATGCCGGCGTCCGAAGACCTGATCAACTTCGACGTGATCGAAGGGCAGAAAGAAAACATTCAGGCGCTGCCGAGCGGTCGGTCAGCCAAAAAGCTCGCCGAGCTGTTCTCGGCATCACCGCTACACAAGATGTCAACACCAACTCCGTCAGACACAAAGAACGTCAACGAGTGCATCCGCGCAGAATATGAGGCCGAGCTCGCAAACATCTCCGAGTCGGATGACCCCTTGGATGTGTTCGACAGATACGTGCGTTGGACACTCGACGCATACCCGTCAGCGCAAGCAACACCCCAGTCACAATTACACACACTGCTAGAGCGCGCGACCAAGGCGTTTGTCAGCTCGGCACAATACAAGAATGACCCGCGATACTTAAAGCTGTGGATGCACTACATTCACTTCTTCTCAGACGCGCCTCGCGAGACGTTCATGTACCTGTCCCGGCACAACATCGGCGAAGGTCTTGCTCTATTCTACGAAGAGTACGCAGAGTGGCTCGAGGGAGCTGGACGGTGGGCACAGGCTGAGGAGGTCTACAAGCTCGGCATGGAGCGCGAGGCTCGTCCTGCTCAGAGACTTGTTCGCAAGTTCGGCGAGTTCGAGCAACGACGCGCTCAGCAGCCAGAGGCGGACTCAGATGCGCCATCGTCTCCTGCCCTCCCCACAGTCCGACCGGCCCTGGCTGCGAAAATTGACCCCTTTGCGGCAGCGGCTGCCGCACGGGATCCGCAGGCCCCGAGGCCCAACCACGGCGTTGGCGGACCGGCCGCGAAGCCCGGCAAGTCCAAGCTCCAGATCTTCTCAGACGCAGATACCGCACCGCCGGCGATGTCGTCCACAGGATCCGGATCGAAGGGATGGGACACCATCGGATCACTGGCAGACAGGAAGAAGGAAAACGTGATGGAACCAAAGCCGTGGGCGGGAGAGACGCTTCAGGCTGGTGGCAAGAAGAGCAGCGCTCCGAAGATGTCGATTTTCAGGGATCCGGTAAGCTAACCATTTCCCTTCCCCCATATGCCCACATGTTGATCAAAATAGGACTAATTTGTTGGCGGTTGGCGCTATTTGTAATTCAGTCTCTATCCCAGATATCCAGTTCACATATAACCATTGCCCCCTCAAAGTACCAGGTGACTGTAAATCCTGCAAACGGTAAGAAGGAGCGCGTGTTTGTGGATCTCCAAGCCGTCTATCCTAGCCCGGAGGAACCAGGCACGGAGCTCAGCTTCGAGGAGATCTGGGCGGCAAATCGTGGATGGCTGGATTGCACATGGGAAGACGATGTGCCCGATGAGCTGCCTGCCATTAAGGAGATTAAGCCATCGGAGGTTGATATTCTCACTGAAGCCGTGTCTCAAAAGCTAGTTGTCCATCATGACGTGGTAATGTTAGATGAGAATGGGCGTATTCAGAACTACCAGAAAGACGGCCGGAGCAAGAAAAAGAAGGTGATGGAGGTCAATGAGACACAAATTAGTGAGTACTGAAGCTGCGTCACTCTTTCTTATGGCTAACACCTGAATAGTCAAGGCAAAACTGGACTCTCCGTCTGGCCGTAAGATTCGCAAGAAGCACTCGTCAGAGCCAACCATGACGATACATACCAAGGCGGCAACTGATGACATCTATGATATCTTCAATGCTCCGCTGAAACCAGTTACTCAAGAAGAGGAAGAGAGTGCCAGTGATGATGACTACGAGACGGATGGTGACTACACTAGTGGTGCTGAGAGCACGGGGACGACCAGGCAGATCACCACAAGTGAAGTTGGAGACGATGAGCCAGAAGAGGTTGGCGATGAAGAGACTTCAGACGTCAAGAGTGTGAGCGAGTGGTCTGACTTCTCAACTCGTAAGCATGTCCCAGACCTTGGAGGCGATGAAGACCAGAACGATACGCAAGTCTCAGATCTCATCGACACAAGGGATCCAGTTCCTTCTAGCCCGCTCTTGGACGGGTCAGGGGATGAGGATTTGCGCGAAGACGAAGCCGAAGAAGTCCAGACGCCAGTGGAAGACGAGTTGCCTGCTAGAACGCGGACGACTTTCATCCCAATTCCACCCGAAGATTATGAGCCTCCAACGAGACCATGGCGAGACCCTATTGAGGCGGCTAACAATCGCCTTCCTTTTATGACTCCTATTACGGAGCGGACAGAGTCATCTCTCGACGTCGACCCACCGAGTGATGAGAACTATCTGGCGGCCAAGACTCCTAGTAGGAGAGATGCAATGAGTGCACCTGTTGATGAGGATATCGATCTGGAGCCGCTCAGCAGTCCGCTTCGAGAAATTATCAACGACGCCTCACCGAAAAAAAAAATTTCCCAGCCTTTCTTACAGAAAGCTAAGCCACCAGCTGCTAAAACGGGCGCTACAAAAGCCATGCTTCCAAAGGGGCCAATCGTCAAGGATGCCCAGTGCAATCCCGTGGACGATGTTGTTCGTGAAGAGATCCTGGCCAATATGCAACCACCACTGAGCTCATATTCAGGATTCTACGACAACCGAAAGGAGAAGTACGAGAAAGGAGGTGAGATTCGAAAATATGTGAAGTCAGCTTCCAAGAGCGGCCGAGCCAGCACGGACCGAACTTGCAATATGGGTTTCCCTGTCGTCGTACAGTTTCCAGATACGAGGGCGCAATACACAATTAGGAAGGAACTCGGAGCTGGCGCATTTGCTCCAGTGTATCTTGTCGAGAACTCCTCTCCTGATGGTACCCAAGAAGACGACGAAGCGCCAGTAGCAATGGGCAAAGGTGCCTTTGCTGTGGGTCACAACCAGCGCAGCTCCCTCGAGGCTCTCAAGATGGAGATGCCGCCGTCCCCTTGGGAATTCCACATGATTCGACTCTCCCACACCCGGCTGGGGTCTCATCACCGTGCAACCTCATCGATCACCACCGCTCTCGAGATGCACCTTTATCAAGACGAGGGGTTCCTGTTCCTACCATATCACCCACATGGTAGTCTTCTCGACGTGGTCAACCTCTTCCGTGCCGAGCCGTCCGGTGTTATGGATGAAGCCTTGGCCATGTTCTTCACCATCGAGCTGTTCCGCACCGTGGAGGCTCTGCACGCCAAGCAGATCATGCACGGCGATCTCAAGGCAGACAACTGCCTCCTTCGGCTGGACCCATTCTCGGACCACGACGTACTGAGTAGTCAATGGCACGCAGACGGACGTGGAGGTTGGTCGACCAGGGGCGTGACGTTGATCGATTTCGGACGCGGCATCGATATGCGCGCCTTCACCCCTGACGTCCAATTCATTGCAGATTGGAAGACCAGCGCCCAGGATTGTGCGGAGATGCGCGAGGGCCGACCTTGGACGTGGCAGATCGATTACCACGGCCTAGCCGGCACCGTGCACTGTCTGCTCTTCGGAAAATACATCGAGACTGTCCGGTGCGATGCCGGTGGTCTCGGAACACAGGCTGGACGCAAGTACAAGATCCGTGAGAGCTTGAAGCGATACTGGCAGACGGACATTTGGTCCGAGTGCTTTGAGGTCTTGCTGAATCCCAGCTCATTTGTCGAAAACGAGGACGGCGCAAAGATGCCTGTGCTCCGCTCAATGAAGAAGGTGCGGGAGAGCATGGAGACATGGCTGGAGGCGAACTGCGAAAGGGGTGTTGGCCTGAAGTCTCTTATTGCGAAGGTGGAGGCTTCTGCAAGGGGCAAGAAATGAGTGACGAAAACTAGACCACCTTGTGGAGGAAGATCATGAATACGGCGTTTCTCATATGTTGCATTTCTGGGCCTCGTCGGTGCCGTGGTGGTATCTACTTACTCCGTTTCAGAGCGCCGGCGTTACCTTTACAGATCATACATACCTTATTTATACAAACTAATACCCTAAACCCAACCCTCGAAACGTGACGTACTAAGAGAATGCTCATCATCATCAATCGCTGTCCTCTTCATCTGACTCGGCCTTCTTCTTGCCCTTTCGTTTCTTGGGGGCAGCCTTCTTTGCATCCTTCTCCGCCTTTCTGTCGACCTGGTCTTGGAGCTTGGTCCTCTCAGCAGCCCCCTTTTCCTGAAGGGACTTCTCTTTTGCCTTGAAGTCCGCGCTCTCGGCATCAGCCCCGATGAGGCTCTCGAGGAGCTTGATCTCATCCGCCCAGATCTGCCTGTCCTCGATGACCTTGCCATCGGGGCCTTTTCTGTCGATAGGGGTCTCTAGCACCATTGGTAGGTTCTGGAGAGGCTCATAGTTCATGATGTTGTGGAAGGCCCTAAGGCCTAGAAAGCCTGTGCCGATGTTCGCATGTAGGTCACGGTGAGATGCGAGGGGTGCCTTGCTGTCGTTTACTATTTAAAGGGATTTAGCAGTTGTTTTTTCTCACTCGATAGGGGGGTTCTCACGATGGAACGCCTTGAGGTACTTAATCCCCACGACTTTGTCGAACTCGGCCATCGTGGCCGCAAATGCCTCGGGGCTGCGCAGGTCGTAGCCCGCGGCAAACGCATGGCAGGTGTCGATACATACGCCTACGCGGGACTTGTCTTCCACTCCGGCGATGATGTCTCGGAGCTCCTCGAAGCGAGATCCAATGACATTGCCGCTGCCGCACATGTTCTCAACAAGCGTGATGACTGTCTTTGTCTCCTTGTGTGACTTGTTCAGCTGAGCGGAAATACGACCGATGGCTTGGGGCCGCGGCTCGCCGCCCGTCGAGCCGGGATGGAAGTTGTAAAGACGGATTCCCAGAGCCTCACATCTTTTCAGATCGTCGACGAAGTTGTTGAAAGCCTGTGCGGCCTTGTCGGCGTCCTTCTGCGCCAGGTTGACCAGGTATGAGCCGTGGGGCAGGACGTGCAGCCCAGCCGCGTAATTCTGCTCCTTGATCTTCTGGTGAAAGGCATCGCGGGCCTCATCGGCCAGCGGCGGGGACTCCCATTTACGCTGGGACTTGAGGAACAGCGCAAAGGCGTTGGCGCCGATCTGCACAGCGTTCGAGACGGCGTTTTGCACGCCGCCCGCACCGCTGACGTGCGCCCCGATATACATCGCCCTCTTCAGCGAAGTGACCGCGGTGCGGGATGCGAGTGGCGCCATGTCTTCCTCCTTGGCGGCCTTGCTCTTGCGCTGCTTCTTGGGAGCCGGTGCCTTCGGCTTCACGTCCTCGTCTTCTTCACCGTGGCTGTCGCACTCGTGGTCCTCGGCCTCAGCTGCCTTCCGTTTCCTGCCGGCAGCGGTCTTCTGGATCTGGACCTTTGCTTTTGTGACGGCCACCTTGGTCTTGGCCAGGACGCTGTTGCCTTTTTTTGGGCTTGGAGCGGGTTCGACTTTGACTTTCTCTACGATGACCTGCTTCGATAGAGACTTGCGAGGCGATTGGCGTGCCATCATGAACAGCGCCGGTAGACACAAAGAATTCAATGGAGTATAGGCAAGTCTATCCTCGGCTGCGGAGCTCTCGTCGAAGGAAGTGTATTATCTTTGGATGCGGTTCGGGCCGGTCGTTTCCATGCCTACGCAATTGAAGCTTCGAGGTCAATCAATTAGCTAGAGCCTCCGCGTTTCTCGGACGCGACGCGACTTTCTAGGTGGGGTGGGGTAATTAATGACGGTATAAGAGGTACTACTTAGCGGTAATTTAGAGTATTTTACCTGATCCCTAGCGCTCGGAGGGTCTAAGGGTCCGACTATCACCACTGCTTATAGCAGGCTTCTAGAATTTCTTCTTTCGCGGGCTAAACTCGCCAGCCGATCACCAAGTTGAGAAGCAAAATACATTCACACAAATCTCGGTGCAAAGCTTTGATCCTGTTCCTGTGAGATTTACGATCGAAACTACGGTACCCTATTTTTACACCTGGCCTCCCGAACCAAGCCATTTCCGGTCATGGAGAGAGGAAGATATCACATCGGCAAGAAAAGACGTTTTGCTAGCTTTGACATCTAGATGTTTGTCGCGAGATGGAATTTGCCATCAATGGACGAGCTTATTCACCGTCCGCCCCCAAATGACCCATACCGTATTTCAAGGAAATGAGGTTAAATCAGTGCACAGTCAGCCATCGCTGGGCTGTGCGAATCTCGGATTTGGCAAATTTTAATCATTCCCACCGCACTCAGGGCTTGGCGCTACGGTCAAAGGCACTCGAAAATGATGATACGTTTCTTTGCAGTTGTGGACATGCACTCTGTGGATTTGAGGCGCTCGTGCGTCCCGTCCCTAGACAAGACGAAACACTGCCGCTCCTAGAGGCACTCACCTCGCAGCTCGCAGCTCGCAGCACCAGCAGCGCACGCAGGCGCACCTACACATCCTGCCTGTTTGTGAGACAAGCTGAAGAGGCACGGTGGCCAAGTGCACATGCTGCACTGGCGTGCACACGCCGCAATGGACTCTGCTGAGACTGCTGAGAGTCAGAGCCTCCACACAAGCGTGTGTGTTGTGTGGGCGGAGACAGCTTTGAGCTTGCTCGTCGACAGGACAGAGATGAGCCAAAAATAGCACACGGGTATTCCTTCCTCGAGGTAGGAGAGGATTTGCGGATTTCTTGGGGCAATGGGGCAACGGGCTAGGCCGTGGCTGGGGCAGTCCAGTGATGGGATACGATGCTTATTCCCATCCGTAAGCAAGCAAGCAATCAGGCAAGCAGAAAGGAGGAAGCCTTTCGAGTTTCCAGTGCCTCGGTTTAACGTTATGTTGGAGAGCCTAGCCAAGAGACCCTTCCTTTTCCTATTCTCTTGTTTGCTGACGATGGGGTTTGCAAGCAGCGCCTAGAGCAACTAGAGCATTAGCAGACTGCCTCTCTGGGCATGGCGTCAGGCGTGCCAGCGGCCGGGTTTCCGCTGACGGTCGATCACCCGTGTGCATGAGAAACCTATGGGGAATGAGAGTCGATGCTCCAGTAAAAATACGTTGACGGTGACGCGGCGGGCCTCCGAATCACCAGGCGAATCGCCAGAGGATGGGTCGTTTGGTGGAGGATTGTGATGTATATGCAGTGCGTATGTGATGTTGGTTGTGCTGTGTATGTCTGGAAACATGAGAGAAAGTGTGTGTTTCGGTTTGCCCACCAACGACAGACTCGCCGTCTTTGCGTCTTTCCCGCCTGGGCGCCGCATGCTGTCTGATTGCGGCCACGTCTGAGGTCTGAGCCGACGACCTGCGCCTTGTGCAACCTGACGGCGGCGGCTGCGACGTCAACATGTCTGCTCTGGTTTGGGGTGGCTTGTTGGGCTGTGGCACTCGCTTGGTGTTGTGCCGTATGTACATTTTGGTCCAACGTCGAATGCAGCGCAGTACTGTATCGGATGAGGACTCTTGTACACCTATATGTGGTATATTACCGCAGACTCCCTCGAGACAGCTGGTCTAGCAATGCTGGCTGGTCTGTCCACGTTGTGAGTTACAGTGAGGCTGGTGTTAACAAGACCCTGATGATATTGCAACGTGAGATATTGATTCGATCCAGCAGTGTGATCGATCCGTGTAACGACGCAAGGTGGCCGAAGGATAGACGAAGGCGTCGTGGACGAGAGAGGAAATGATGAGAGCGGGCGACTGGCTGTGATCTCATTGAATGACATCGTTCTTGTCCGGGTAAAAAAACCGCCAAAGTGCGACCCTTCCTCCCTTCTCTCATCTTGCATAACGAACCGAACCCTCGATGGGTGTTGATCGCCACTCTTGCCCACCATCTTGCCCCAGTCGCCAGCGACGGGCGTGCCGATTTGACAGCCAGTCCGCCTCCACTGCTCCGCAGTATTCGTACTTGGTACACGAGCATGCGTGTTCAGCCCACTCAAATCGGCGCTATGCGGGAGGGTGTGGGAAGGCGAAGGTACTTTGCTTATTCCCTGAACGATTAAACAACCTAACCTACCTTCTTCCTCGGAACTACATTTTACTGTATTAGTATCACAGCGAGACATTAGGCACGTACCTTAGGTATATGTGTCGATGATATTGACCCTGACGTGCTGAAGAGACGATTAGCCACTGGCTGCAAACCCCACCACCTCTTTCATTTCTTGCCCAGCAAAAACAGGGCCAGTCCAGTTAGGCCAGTTGAGTTGCCAGCTGATCAGGCCAATGTCCAGCCCAAGCAGGGTGGCTAAAGGTGTTTAGAGCACAATACATAATCAACCTTACAGTGCTGACGACAGTCGAGAAAAGTCGAGACCAGGGTGCCACTCTAGTCTTGCTGCTGGAAAGGGTATACCGGTAGTTGTAGAGCAGTGAAATACCTGAATACCTGAATACCTGAAGAGTGAATGGTCTCAGTGGTGTGGGAGTGTGAGTGTGGTGAAGTACCAGTAGTGGGCTAGCCCCTTAGGGAGACCTCACGCTCCGCCTCGTTCCAGCATGGTTGCATTGTAGGTACGTAGGTAGGTATGTACTTCGTCGGCCGTCCTGATACGTCGCCGCCGCAGACGCTGCCTTTTTGCCGCTGAACACACTCTCAACTTGCAACAAACACAATCAATGAGGAGGCTGTAAATGACGACTGTTCTTCATGGCTTGAGCCCCTTGAGCACCATGAATCCAGTTGCAGACAACATCATCAACAGCAACAGCAACACGCTCTCCCTGCTCTAGGAAAGCAATCGCCTTCCCGTCTAAACCGCCCCACGACTGCCTCCATGGCGGCCGTGAACGAGCATAGTGGACGGCGCTCCTCAATAGAGAAGCGACCCATTATGCCGGACTCCGAACCACAACCCTCCGTCTTCGAAAGGCTGCCCGACGAGATCATCCTACAGTAGGTCTCTCCTAGCGGTCTGTATAGACTGCATCGTGCTAAAGATCTCCATCGCAATAGGATCCTGCACGTCTCCGATCCGAACGCATTCGCGTCTCTGGTTCTCCTTAACTCGAAATGGAGGCACGCCTCCCAACACGCCCACCTCTACGCCCTTCAACTCGCAAGGTGTCCGTCATACTCTGCAAGCCACAAGAACCCGCCCAAGAAGGATGACCTGGAAGCATTGCGGAAATTGTTTGCGCGAGAGGTCAAGAGGAACCTGTTCGAGGCTTACTTGCGGCCGAACCAGACCGTCATCAATCTCGTCTCCAACTCCATTAGCTCCTCATCATGTCCCGGCGGCGAGGGCATGCAGTTCAGCCCCTCGCCAAAGGGCCACCAACTACTCGCATACAACTCGTCTCGCATCTATGTGATCAATCTACAAGGCCCGGAATTAGAGGTGAAGCGGGAGTTTAAGATCCTACGGCGACCCGCTGCGACTTGCATTAAGGATGACGGCTCGCTCTTGGCTGTGCTCTTGACCGAAATGCAGGTCGATTTGTATGACCTCACCCGATCACCGCCGCGTCGAACACAATCTGTCATCCTTGATCACAGCCCTCGCGCCATTGCCCTCTCGCCGTGCGGCACGGTCCTAGCAGCAGCTTACGAAGGTGGAATCGAAGTATCGTCCCTCAATCCGGGCGCCCTGTCCACAGATCGAAGGTCTGTGAAGTGTGATGCTGTGGATTCGCTGTCATTCTCCTTTGACGGGACACAAATCCTGGGCACGACGGTGCATTCAGGCCAGCCCAATACCGTCATCTTGACCGCGCCGTACTACGATCCCGGAAGCCATATGGCGGATGATAACATTAGCTCACTCTGGACTACTTCGATTCTCTTTCCCAATACGAGCCGGGACTGCAGTCATGCTGTTTTGCTTCAAGAATCGAGCCACCAAGACGCGAGTTGGACTTTTACTTATGATCGCAGCTTTGAAACCTTTCGCGCTGTTCGCATCGACGACCTTCGCAACGGCACTACTTATTTCACCGGCCCGATCCCTATTGCTACGTCCCAGTCAAAACTTATTCCATGCACCTTGCCAGCCGCATCATACCATGGCGACCTTGTTTCCGCCGGGTTTCAAGGCAAGGAGGTCTGGCTCTACGGTGTGCCTGAGGATCTCGACGCAATCTCAGACTGCGCAAATGCTGGGACAGAGTCAAGTGGCAACGCAGCTGGCTTGGGTCGTCGCAATAGCGGTCCGGCGATGCGCTCTCCACCGCGGACCCAGGAAGCAGGAGAAGCACGGGTTCCGCAGTGGCAGGTACTCTGCGACAAGTTCCGCAATACCTTTGTCGGGGGCTGCAAAATCACTGAGCTGAATGGCGTGCACACAGTCAAATGGGTTGCTGGCTTTGGGGATTGCTCGCTAAAGGAACGTCTTGTGGTTGCTGCCCGGGGTGTCCTGCCTCCCAAACCGATTACAGAAGATGATGGTATCGACTTCGTGGATGGTGGAAGAGTGACTCTCGTCGATTTTGATTATGGGCTTGAAGATGGTCATGTCACCGAGATTACGATAGAGGTAGGGGCCAAGGAACCTGAGGTGCTGGAGGAAGAGCAGCGTGATATGGACACCGAAGTTGCTATTGTTAGGAGACGGACGGTTGCTCAACGAAGAGGCAATCGTAACGCTGTGTCACGGGCGGCAACTACAGCATCTCATGCTCCCCCTATTCCGCCCGTCCCTCAGCCTCAGCACACCGAAGTGGACGAAGAGGATCCTCTGATTCCGCGCAGGTTAGGTGCTGCCCCGAGACAGCTGGTGCCGGAACAACCACAAGCACCAGAATCTCCAGACGTGGAAACGGAGGCTATTATCGAGGAACAAGAGGCCCTAGATGCCCCTTATTCGCATGCTAGTCCTCGTTCTGGTACCACGCTACGCCGTGCTGCTACTGCTGCCGCTGCCAATCGCCGTCTACACCCTGAACCTGCAACGGCCGCGGGGCATATTCAGTATCGTCGTGCAGATGGACGCGCGGAGCATCCGCATGAGAGCGACGCAGATAACTGGGTCCCTCCACCGCCTCCTTATCAAAAGGAGGACCCTCAAGATTTACCTGCTTTCTTGCGTCACCCGGCAATCACGCCTGTGACTGCTCCCGCCGTTCCACAACAACGGGCGCAAACTGTTCAACCGCCACCTGTTCAAATGCAACAGCACCCGCCAATGCCGCCACAGCCCCCTTGGGTCCAGGCACAACGGTCGAGTAGCCAACCTCCTGGGCCTACCCGTCAGCCCATGGCTCAAGCGCCTGCGCCCCGTCCTCAGAGTCACCAGCGGCTACCGAGTAATTCTACGACAGTCTCAACTCGTACTGTCGATATACCTCGACCATCATCCCAGGCCACAGATATATACGATGTGACTCCGCCTGGGACGCCCCGTCAGCCCATTAACTCCAGATCCACGGTTGCCACACGGAACAATACTAGCGCCAGTGGAGCTATCGCAGCCGGGAGCAACTACGCCCCATCCCTACCGTCTCCAGAGACACCAGCTACCCGCCCAATGGTCCCCCGGATCCTGACTTCACCAGCAAGTTCTCCTGGCAGTCAATTCGCTCCCTCACTTGATCTGCAAATACCGTCTCCGACCTTGAGCAATGTCATGTGGAACTCTCAGCAGCAGGGTGATAGTCCCTATATCAGGAGAATATCCAATTCTCAGACCTGGCCAGCGCCGCCCGCACCCGTAGGAATGCCAGCTATTCTGCCTGCTGGTTATCCCTATTCAGCTCCGCCGACTACCTTTGATGCAAATCAAGTAATTGCTCAGTCATACCCTCCCGCACCACGACCAGACCAACTTGCAAGCCTCCATCAGCGTGAGAGCCAACTCCCGCCACCACGGCGCATGTCTGGTGGCTTTCAAGTTCCGCGTGTGCCTGTCGGCAGTCGAGATGGGGAAAGGGGCAGACGAGTTTCCGGCCAGCAGCAGTTACCGCCTCCATCGACGCACCAGACACAAGGGCGATCGGTTGGACAACCGCTATATCAACCCCAGCCGCAACGTCCACACCAGTCGCAGCCGTTACGGTCAAATCCAATTGACCAGATAACAAGGGCTCCCCCTGTAGAAGACCAGCCACTCATCATCAGTACTCCTAAGGGTGTTACTGGGGCATATGATCCGCCAGATCGTCATGCTTCGACCACTCAACGTACCGAAACTCCCATCATAGCCCCTATTCCTCGACATCCACGTCCTCAGGCTGGGGCTGGACCGCTTCAGCCAACTGTGCAACGGCTGGAGGGCATCTACAGCGTCGCGCCTTCCGCACAGCACCATCACATGGTTCCAACCCAGCCTGGACCGTCCAGCTATCTTTCGGCCCCATCCACCTCGACGGTCCGTCAATCTTCCCTCCACCGCAAACAGTCTCGTGCAGAGCGCAGTGCTGCTAAGAACATGGCTGACGCGAAGCGTCGGGGCTGGGGACGACGGAAGAGCCAGAAAAAGAAAAAGAAGGAGAGAGACTATGATGCCGCCAGCAGTGCGGCATGGACTGATGTCACTTGGTCCTCCGCGGGAGGTGCCGGGTATGGTAATTACGGCATGCAGCAGCAGCAACCACAACACAAGGACAAGAAATGCGTGATAATGTAGCGTTCCGGTACACTGATCCTGATGAGACGGGACAACAAAAACATGTTACTGGATTTTCGGAGCAAGGACGGGATATTTATATGGGACAACTTGAAATATACATTGAGCGTCGCAACTGAAGGATGAGCGAGCGACTGTATTTTGAAAAGGAGAAAAAGTTCGGGGTGACCCGGGAGCAAGCGATTTTGCATTTTTCTTTTACAAGCACCTCCTTAATCATACCCGCTGGTGATACAGGACAGCGGCCAGCGAAAACACATATTGGGAACACTTAGCCACATGATACCACTTTTCCTTAGTCGTTAATATCTACCTATTAGAGGAGGATTGCAATAGTCGGACGAAGCAATGAAATGATATTCCCCATCTATCTGCGCGAAATGGTGTTTGTTTGTTTGTTTGTTTCTTCCTTCATAGCATACAGCACTTCTCTACATGTCCTCATTTGTGTCCTCGATCCCAGCACGCAGAAATGGGCGTTGAACGTAGACCGTCAAGCATCCTCGCAGCAACATCTTTGCAAATTACACGAGAGAAAAATCCAAGAGACAACGGGGGTGGCATCGACCATCTATCATGTATAAGGCCTCACATCTACTCTAGCTTCAGCTGCTTGAACTGCTCGATCGTGCCCTCGAAGCCCTTCGCCTCCGTCTCCAGGTCGACCAGCTTCTGCTTGTCCTGCTGCTGCGTCGCGACGGCCACCTTCTCGAGATAGCCCGGGTCCGTGACCATCTTGCGCTGCTTGTCGATGTTGGCCCGCGTCTTCTCCAGCTTCTTGGCCGCCTTGGTGATCTCGGCGTCGAGGTCGACGAGTCCCTTGACGTGCAGGAACACGGCGGCGTTGCTGCCGACGGGGAAGGCCACGCAGCCCTGAGGCCGCGGCTTGTCGGACGAGAGGACGTCGATGGAGGTGACGCCCTTGCCGCTTAGCGACTTGATGGAGGTCACCTGCTCGGTGGCCGTCTTGAAAGAGCCATCATTATAGGCTTGGATGAAAACTGTAGAGTTCTGAGTTAGTGGAATTGAAGAATGTAGTGGTTGGAGCGTCTTTTCTTACCCTGTCCTGCTTCTTTGAACTCGGCTTTCAGTGAGCGGATACCCTGGGCGCAATCTAGGACGAGCTGGTATGCACTCTCCGCTTCCACATTATGTAGCTTATCCTCGTACACGGGATACTTTGCGAGCATGATACTAATTCACGAGATGTTAATGTCGTCATCAATAACCCGGAATGTGTCTTCACTTACCTCGGGGTGTCATCCTCTGGTCGTCGGGGGAGTCGCTGCCACAACTCTTCGGTGACATACGGCATGAACGGGTGGATCAGGAGAAGGGATGCCTCGAGCGCTGAGTATAGCGTCTGCATGGTCGACTCCTGCTCCTCCTTGTTTCCTTCTTGAAGAATTGCTTTTGAATCTATTTGACATGGTGAGTATGACTAGGTAAATTGAGACGTGGAGCAGTAACCTACTCTCAATGAAGGTATCACACAGGCTGTTATAGATGAAGCCGTAAATTCCGTTCGCAGCCCTCATGAACTCTCTCTCCTCGAGAGTCTCGTTGAGAAGGCCGGCTGCTGAATTCATCTTTGACAAGATCCAAAGCTCCGCCAAGCTCTCTTTTCCATTGAGCGTTCTAGTCTTCTGAGGGACGAAGTTGCTGTCTAGCTTGCCAAGAACATACTTTGAGGCTTGATAGATCTTATTGGCAAAACGACGGTAACTGTGCATGACCTTAATGTCGAAGTTGATGTCGCTGCCTCCAGTGGTGTACGCAGCCAGAGTCATCCGTAGCGCATCAGCACCGCACTCGGGGATGCCTTGCGGGAATGCTGACTTCTGGTAGGCAGTGGCCTTCTTCACCTCACCAGGCGCAAGGTTGCCAGTCAAGAGTTTGGCATGGAGATCATCTAGTGTTATGCCACGGATAACGTCTAGGGGATCAATAACGTTGCCCAGACTCTTGGACATTTTCCGTCCCTCAGAGTCACGGATTAGGGAGTGGGCATACACCTCCCTGAAGGGGACCTTGCCAGTGAGCTTGATGCCGAGCATGATCATCCTGGCGACCCAGAAGAACATGATATCCCAACCTGTTTCCAGTAGTGAAGTAGGATAGAAGTTCTCCAGGTCTTTCGTCTGCTTGGGCCATCCCATTGTAGAGAAAGGCCAGAGACCAGAGCTAAACCACGTGTCTAAGACATCTGGATCTTGCTCGAGTACGAAAGTCTTCCCAGGCAAGGCCTTCTTAGCTTTCTCCTCAGCTTCTTCTCTACTTCGTCCCGAGAACCACAAATTGTCATCGTCCGAGTCCTCGGCATTTTGGCCTTCGATAATGGCCTTGTAGACGGGCGCTCGGTGTCCCCACCAGAGCTGTCTGGAAATACACCAATCCTGAATGTCTGCCATCCAGCGAAAGTACATCTTCTCAGCTGACTCTGGTCGGATTTTGATCTCGCCATCCTGAACAGCCTTGACAGCTTCATCCGCGAGACCGCGCATCTTCATCCACCACTGCTTCTTCAAACGCGGCTCAATAACGTCCTTACTCCTCTCACAGCGAGGGACCTTCATTGGGTTGTCTTTCTTGTCAACATAGAGTCCGAGCTTCTTGAGGTCATCCTGCAGTGTGTATCTGACGTCAAACCTCTTCTGTCCCTTGTATGGGCCGGCATTGTCGTTCATCAGACCATCATCAGTCAGGATGTTGATAAACTCAAGATTGTGTTTTTGTCCTAGATTGAAATCGTTGGGATCGTGCGCCGGGGTCAGCTTGACTGCACCGGTACCAAACTCCATATCGACATACGAGTCCGCAACGATAGGTAGTTTACGGCCCTCGATAAAAGGATGAACGGCATATTTCCCAACCAAGTGGGTGTAGCGCTTGTCATCTGGGTGAACAGCGATACCAGTATCACCGAGCATAGTCTCAATACGAGTAGTAGCGACCTCGATCTTCTCGTCACTGCCTTCGATGGGGTACTGGAAATGTATAATGACACCGAATTCGACCTTCTTATCGTAGCCTGGAACGTCGAGGAGGGTTCTTCCGCTAAGCTCCTTATTCTCCACCTCGAGATTACTCAGAGCAGTGCTCAGGGCTGAGCACCAGTTGACGAGTCGATTTGCTCTGTAAATGATCTTCTCCTCATGCAAGCGAACGAAGTGCTCCTTAACGGCAGCAGTAAGATTCTCGTCCATCGTGAATGCCTCACGGCTCCAGTCGAGGGAGCATCCCATTTTGCGGAAGGCGTTTGTGATTCTCTTGTGATATTCCTCCTTCCAGTCCCAGACAGTCTCGACGAATTTTTCTCTCCCGAGATCATGACGGGTCTGTTGTGTTCTTCGCCAGAGCATCTTCTCGACGACGCTTTGTGTGGCAATACCAGCATGATCGGTTCCTGGTAACCATAGTGTCGTCTTCCCAAGCATTCTCTGCCACCTGGTAAGGATATCTTCTAGGGAATTGCCCAGCGCGTGGCCCATGTGAAGGGCACCAGTCACGTTGGGTGGCGGCACAACGATAACAAAGGAACCTTCAGGCTTGACTTTGCCCTCTGCAGTGAGCTGCGGCTTGTAAAAGCCTTGCTTCTCCCACCACTCGCCCCATGCAGACTCGACAGCCACGGGGTTATATGCCTTGTAGTAGGGGTCGTCGAAGCTCTTAATTTGCTTCTTCTCCCCAAGAGTGGTCTCCTCCACGTACTCGGGCAGAACCTCCTCCTCCTTCTTCTCTTTCTTCTCCTTTGCCTTGCTAGGCGCCGCCGCCGGGGCAGCTTGTGCAGCAGTTTTCTTCTGCTGGAACTTGGCCAGCTTCTCTGCTTTCTTCCTCTCTTTTTCCAGCTCCTTCTCGGTCTTCACCTTAGCCGGGGCGGTCGAAGCGGCGCCAGCATCTTGGCCAGACGCATGGGTGCCGGTAGAACCGCTGGTCGACACGTTTTGGACGGTGGCCTTGGTCTCGGGAGAGACAGCCGGGGGAGGAGGGCCCTCCTTCTGAGGCCCGTCGGGGGCACCGATTGGGTTGCCTCGCGCGCTGTTTGTTGCCATTGTGAGTCGCGGGTGGTAAGAACTTCGTCTGAGGGGTGACGAGCGCACCAGAAGTGCACGTAAAACCTGGCGGGACAACGTTTTGGCGTTCAATGGCTAAATGAAGGGAGTGGGCCGGTTGAGGAGGACGAAGTTGACTCTTAAATATCTCTGTCCTCCTAAGACTCAGAAGTTGTAAGAGTCATAAATTTTGCCCTAAAACACCGCACTCGAGCCACACATGTTTTGGAGCTGCAGCCACACATGGCGGGGTGTTCGGCGGGAGAAGCTTGTTAGGCACAGCACAAGCGGGCGAGCTTGGCCAGCCGGGGGCTAGCTCCAGCACTGTCAAAGTTGTAATTAGAATGCTTAGCACGGGTTGCTCCACGAACAGCTAACAAGTCGGTAAAGGAAGAGACTGCTTTCGTCGACTCGGGCTCTTCTAACTGATGTCTGATCAGAGCTGTAATAAACATGCTTCTGACGGCTTCTTGCCGTTCATTTACGTCCAAGCCAGTGTTGCATAGATTGACAAGGCGGCTAGCCACCCATGCGACCAATAGTACCGCCAATGATAGATTTTCCATCGTCATCAATGGATCGGTTTCTAAGGTCAATCCAGCATTGCCCATGAAAGAATCAATGGCTGACACTCTCGACAGCATCATGTTATAGATCATGTAACACAGCAAAGGGATTCTGTAACAGCCGCCCTGAGCCAACGTCAAACTGATGCCGTTGTTGTACTGGCCTCTCGCGATCTTGCGGCATGGCTCGACGATGACTCATTCATGTCTGCTCTTTTACAGCAGTCGTTTCCGGATCCTTCTCAAAATGATGCATCCGCAGGAGAGATCAGTGTCCTGGCTGCTGTGGTAGATGGGCTTTCCCCATCTCGGCAATTTGGCGAGCCACAAAGCGGCTTTTCTGTGCTAAAAGGCTACACAGAATCACTGCTTCCCTCGTTCTGGGATATGGGGCAGCGCAACTATGAATCAAGCTCGCCGTCATCTATATCGATGCTGCTCGACCCGTTTTCAGGAGACAAGCGCAGTCTACAAGTCACTGTGCCTCTGGCAAACACGATATTCCAGAATGGGCGGCCATCGACACTATTGGCGAGTCGCTGGCAGAAGCAGGCTTCAGGGTCGTTTACCTTGGCCCAGCTCGAGGAAAGAACATCACAGGTCATCCTCCCGTCAATCACCGGTCGTGATCTGATCACAAGAGCTTCGGTGCCATTACTTCCAATCAGCACTCCACGCAAAGTAGTTGCAGGCTTGGGGAATATTATCCGTCAGGTTGAAATAGACGGCCAGCCATCTCCAGCTTCGAAGGAGCTTGAAGCAAACGTGCCGAAACTGCTCGATGCACGCTCGCAAGCGGACCCCGATTTTGTGCCAGGCCCAATTGGCGTCTGGGCACTTGTTTTACCTGAGCCAGTCGTTGAATCTGGAATCTTAGATTCCATGCCTAGCGTCCAATACCTTGGTTCAGAAGGAGAGCGGGATTCCGCCCAAGCGTTTGCAGAGCTATTTCCAAAGCTTTTGACATCGGGATGTCACCTTCATAAAATTTGTATGAATCTCCGAGGCCCATTGATTTAAATTCGCTGACCATGACCTTATAGTAAGTGGTGGCGGAGGATGGGGCTTGAAGCAAGGACTGCTCTCTCTAGATCCACAGACGACTTATACAACACCAGGTGATGAAGATATAGAGAGCTTCATCAAATCTTTCCGGGGCGAATCGTCGGCGGACAGTATCGTTACTCCCGGATCATATGTACAGTTCTTCGTCTCGCCAACCCTGCTACAAGACAGCATTTCAACCATCGTTAACAAAGGTGCCTTGCCCACAACTGTACTCGGCACTCACGACATCAGTTCAACAGAGATCGAGGTAATCGGAACGCCTTCTATGGAAATCCTGCCCGGTCATTTTGGAGGAATTTCAACACAAGGCCTGTTCATATCATCCACCTCATCCAGCAACAAACTTATCACCAAGCTTGATGCTCCCAACTCTTATATTTGGAACGGCCTGCAACATTGGCGATAAAGGTCTTCGGTGAAAGGCAGTGTATTCCTATGAGAGTATTCGATGTTTATATGACGTTCAGCATTGTACTTTTAGTCTTGTCTGTACAATCTCCTGTAGAATACAGTTGTAATGGTAGGAAATAGGAATGATAGGTTATATCCTGTTTATGTAAGCTTGCATGTAATTGCGGAAGCATCCATCCCTCCTTTATCTCGGTCTTAAGGAATTCAGGCCATGGCTAGCGTCCCGCGCCATTCGTGGATGCGCTGTCGTCAATTCATTCAATACTTAATTCGTGTGGAAATAACCATCCCATTTGCACAACAAGCGTAGTTGACTGTCTGTACCTAGGTATTTATAGACTTTACACTCCAATTATTTTTTCTCTTTTGACATATGATAAACAGAACACGGGATTAAATACAAGATTTTGTCATTTTCAAAGAATTTGTAGATCAATACCGAAGATTGTTTGTCAGGAGTCTATTCAGTTACTGGCGCAAATGGCTGCCTCGAAGCTTGCAACAATTGGCATCCTGTCCCTTGGAGATATGGGCACAGGCATTGCGAAACTCCTCGTAGCCAAGGGGTTTTCAGTCGCAACCAATGCCAAAGGACGTAGGTAAGTCAAATTGGCTCTTGGCAAAGACGATTAGAGCCACTTATACTGCCCGATGTTCTTCTACTGTACCAAACATTCTTCACTAACACGTCGCCAGTCAAGACACACTAGATAGAGTCAAGGCGGCGCAAGTCGAAAACATCACATCAGACATCGACCTAGTCAAGAAATGTGACGTCTTGCTCTCTATTGTCCCTCCGCGCGATGCGGCAGCGACGGCGCAGCGGGTCATCGACGCCCTCTCAGGCGGCGTCAAGAGGGAGCCCCCGCTGTACTTTGCTGACATGAACGCTGTTGCGCCGTCTACGATCAAGGACATCGCCCAGAAGATTGACAAGGCTGCCGTTCCGGTGCGCTTTATCGATGGAAGCATCCTCGGCGGTCCGCCAGCGCCAAAAGACTCGCCGGAGGGAGAATGGGAAGTGCCATGGCTCCCAGCGTCCGGTCCGCACAAACTAGCTGATATTCCGGGGTACGGCGAGACCCTGTCGAAGACTCTCAACATCAAGCACATCTCGGATACCATTGGGGCCGCATCTGGTTTGAAGATGTGCTTCGCCTCGCTGTCCAAGGGCTACACGGCCATCGCTATACAGTCTTACACAACGGCGCAGCGTCTCGGCGTGCTGGGTGACCTACAGGAGGCGCTGGCTGCACTCGCCCCGGCGCGTGTGGTGCAGACTGAGAAAGGCCTTGTGGGCATGGCACCTAAGGCTTATCGATGGGTTAGGGAAATGGAGGAGATCTCCAAGACGCATGTCGAGGAAGGGGGCTTTGAGCCATTCATCTTCCAAGGAGCCGCAGGTGTTTACAAGTCGGTAGCGGAAGACACAGTCCTCGGCCAGGAGAAGATCGGACAACGGAAGAGAGGCCGGACCGCGGAAGACATAGCAGCTGCTATGGCGGAGGGATTGGAGCAGAAGAGGAAGAAGACGGATTGATAATACTTCACCTTGGGTATACACATCTTAGGACATTATAGTAGATGGTCAACCAGACCAGATACATATATCATAAGGATGATAATTTTCAAGCCTATTTGGAGCGAGGTCAAACAGTAACCCAGGCTAAGAGGTATTTCATGTCAGTGCCGCGACGCTGCCGGAGCATGCTTCTCAATTGAGAGATCAAGGCGAGGCTGCACTATCCTAGTGTCCCTGTGCCGCCTATAACAGGCACAATTATACGTCTGCAACAACAGCCAAAACTGGATCTCGCCTCAAATCTTGTTCTGTTCCTAACTAACCGTCGTATTGCGGCTGACCTAAATCAGGTTTCCCCTTGCGGATTCCGGGGCGATCGACACCACCACCGTATTCCGTGGCAACGCGTTAACGATGATGAGTCCCTGAAAGTACGGGGATCTCAGAACAATGTGCATTATTTCGCCAGTGATATGGCACGTCACAGAGGTATATTCCCAACTCACTATGATCCCCTCCAGATGTGGCGTTCTCAATCAAGTATGTAATGCCCTGAGAGGAAATGCCGTCCGCAAAGAGGACCAATGCGGGTTTTTGAAGGTGTAGGCGTTGGAACAGGGTGTTACCCAGCTCGGCTCTGTATCTGCAAGGATGTCATTGTGCATTCAGGTCGTCCAGCCTCTCCAGTATATTAGATTCTAGTCGTGAAGGAAAAATTCATGATTTGGAATGTTCAGTTTGTCATCTAAAATATATTCGGTGTTTTGGTGTCTAGTTCCTGAACAACAGGACCCGGAGCAGGTTTCCTTATCAGGCTCGATGGCTTCGAACGAAGCGCCGTCCCAGATCCCGTCACCTCCGGAGTCACCACAAGGCAGTCGTCAAGCTACACATGTAGCTAATGATCAGGCACCTCAGGCGGTTGAAAATCAGCCGCACATGGCTCCTCAAGTGGTAGAGACGGGTGAGAAAGGCATATTTGAGGATGCCTCGACTGAGGAGGACGAGGATGCCGAATCAGATCAAGACGAAGAAGACATCTCTCATGTGCCACGATATCAGCAGACACCTATGCATGCCGGCCCCTATCCTGCATTCCCTAGTTGGCCTGGGTATGAAAGCCCTCCGCCTTCGGAAGTTGGTTCGAAAAGGGCCTCTCGCCAACAAGGAAACCAGCAGCGCAATACATATTGTCGTGGTCAATCACAGCAGCAGCGTGAGCAGAACAGCCACGAACGAGTTGGGACGTTCAGCGATAATAACTTTGCTTTCGAGGCGCCATCACACGGCCGGCAAAGACGGTCGAACAAAAAGACTTTCCCCAGTGGTCAACATAGTGCAAGCTGGAACACACCGTATCCGACCTATGTAGATAACGACCCAGTCGCCGTCCCCATGACTTCTCCCTCACATGGCGGTAGAGCAAAGCACGGAATGCCAACACATGAACACCCCATCCAAGTGCCAGTACGTGTTGTAAACCCAGGCGATCTGGCGCCTCCCAAACCCGAGGCCAAGGAGAAAAGCAGTCTACGCATTAAGTTAGACCTGAACCTCGACGTTGAGATAACACTCAAAGCGAGCCTCAGGGGTGATCTAACTTTGGCATTGTTGTAAGTGAGCAGCCCCGTCTTTGATCCGTCAGACCTCATCCATAATACCACACGACGACTAACCTTGAATAGTAATGATTGAAGTATGCGGCAATTGTATGTAGATTATCTGAGGGACGGCGTCGCGAGGAGTCTATTGGGCGATCATCATGGATCACAAGGCATAGACAAAATTAGCCATATAGCACGGCCCTCAGGGCTCTTAATGTTTAATCGTAACTGTTGGCATTGCTGTTCTTCCGTCGCCGCTTGCCACCTGTGACACTTATTCGATCATGTCAATATCATCCCCTGTCGCCTCTGTTGCCTGACCGTTTCCATTCGACGGCGCTACGGAATGTGCAGGTTCGCCGCCGCCGAAGTAGTCGTCCATCTCGGCATCTAGTTCTTCCTGAGTTTTCTTGGTGCGACCCTCTCTTCCTTTGCGCTCTCCCTCATCCCGTCGTGCACCACGGCCCTCTCTCCTCGCGCCAGGACGTCGGCCACCCTCCCTTCTTCTATTGGGTAGGGGACTCCGAGACCGACTGCCATTGCCACCGGGTACGTACCTATCAATACCCTTACGAGCGGCTCCGTCTCGATCTCGACCTGGAGACAAGGAGCGGCTGCGTCCGCCGGGAACGGTGATGCGCTCCGCGAGTGGACGCCCAGGCATGATCGCAGTGTCAAAAGGATTGCGGCGAGGGCCAGGTCCTGAGGGGACAATAGCAAGTTTGATAGGTTGGCCTGTATGTGTTAGAGTTTGGACTACAACTCTCAGCTACCTAGAGTCTTACCATTAGCATTGGCCCCATCGAATTCTCGGACCGCCTTTGACGCATCCTGATGCGACTCGTATGTGACGAATGCGGTGCCCTCAGAGCGACCAGCACGGTCGTAACGAATGTCGAGCTTGATCACTGGTCCAATTCGGGTGAAGAGGTCCTATAATTCATGAGCGGGTTTTCAATGACTAAGAGCGAAGGCCATACATCGAGATCCTCCTTAGTGAGCTCCCAATGCAGGTTGTCAACTCGAACTTTGGTGCCTTTCGAGTCACTGGGTTCCTTCAATCAGTACATGAGAAGATATAATTTCTGGATCTTATCTACATACCCTTGCGGCTCTGGCGATTCTCGGCCTCGACGCGGTTGTCGGGATCTGCGAGAAGCTGAAATATGCGTCAGCCGGGCATCCCGAAGGGTAGATCGGTGTCTTCAAGTACAATTATCTTCGAATCTGTCGTGAACCCATTCGCTACATGTAGGTTAGCCTCATGTACATATTCCATCGTGGCGCATATAGTCCAAGCACGTACGTATCTAGATTTCGGGGTGCGTCGTCGCGAAAGGACTGTTCCGCCGAAAGGTGATAGTTGTCAGCTTGTTTTTCTCATCAATTACCTTCCTCGGCCGCGATCCCGGGCAATCGAGCGAGCATCGGGAGCTGCGACGGCATTGAAGGGACCGAAGAGGTGATGCATTCAGGAAGGGGTAGGAGAGTGTTGCACCTGCGAAAGGCACATTTTAGTCGAGCGTCTGGAACCGTATTTGTTCAAGAATGGACGCAGGACGCACCTTTCTGACGCCATCGCGGGGATATTCCTGCTGTCTGTCGCGCTCACGTCGCCTCTGGCCGCCGCCTCGACCACCGCGAGGGCCATCTTTGCTCTTCTGGAGGATTGTCAGCAAAGCCTCAGGCAAGGCTACAGGGTGTGGAGTGCTTTTTCAACATACGCGCTCAGCAAGAATCTCGTCGAGACTGCGATCCATACTTCGACGTTATACAAGGCAAAGAGAAAAATATAGGGGCTTTCTGGTGACACGCGGCGCTTGATAGAGAGAATCGGCACACGATTGCCCAAATGGATGTTTCCACGAAGTAGGCAACGGAGACGCGGCTGAATCGGTGGGTTGACAAAAAGGCTAGGTAGAAACCTTGTAGAATGGTCCGGTGCAGGAGGACCGTGCCGAAAACTTGGGCACCAGCCTACCGTCACACGAGGACCGTTTCGCGGGCCAGGTACCTGGAAAGTCTTTGCTCATATGGCTTTAGGGGAGGCGGCTGCAAAATTACACCAATCGGCGCATTACCCTAAGTAGCGCGACTTGGCAAGTACAATGCCATGCCGTCTCCCCTTTACTTGACCCAACCAATGTATTTTGGGTAGCCTTCCCAGCAGTGAGTATCGAGGGAATCTAGGTATATGTAGGGATGAAACACAAGTCTTATAGAAGACAATGGATACCAAGTGAGGCTTACAATACAATAATGCTTTGATATTCTATAATGTTAAAACAGTCTCTTACACACTAGAAATCTTCATATATTTTGAAACATCATATCGTTGTACATCATCACCAGTCACCTTTCACGAAATCACATTTAGGTCGAGATAGTAAGACTTGCGTAGTCCGTCTAAAAGACAATTTTTCATTTGCGGTACCTAGGCCAGTAGTTACAGAAAGGGAAAACGAAGCAAAACGCAGATCCTGCCTATTATCGTTTGGTAGGCACCGTGCACCTGCCGTGGATATTAAGGTGCAAGAGGAGCCGCAGACCCTCAAAATGCAAGTCACTTTTGTGAGAAGACGTCCCTCAAACTGCACCCTTGCCAGAAGTCTGGCGACGCAGCCCCCTTCTCTCTCTATCGACCAACGCGACACAGATACCCCATAGAGGAAGTCCCCAGCGGAGAGACTTCCCCCAAACCCAACTCGGTTTGCGGCGTATCCGTATGCAGACAAAAATTAGGAAACTGGCGGATTAGATGAGGTATGATCTAAATCAGATCGGCAACGTTCATGGGCATCTCCTCAATCTGGGTGCTGTAGAATTGCTCGATCTCTCTCATCATGCGCACATCCTCGGCGGTAACGAAGTTGATGGCAACTCCCTTACGACCGAAACGACCACCACGACCAATGCGGTGGATGTAGTTCTCCCGGTTGGCGGGGAGATCGTAGTTGATGACCAGCGAGACCTGCTGGACATCGATACCACGGGCCAGAAGGTCAGTGGCAATCAGGACACGAGACGAACCGGATCGGAATTCCTTCATAATCAGGTCACGCTGAGCCTGGTCCATGTCACCGTGCATGGCAGAGACGGTGAAGTCACGAGCGGTGAGCTTATCGGTGAGCCAGTCAACCTTTCTGCGGGTGTTGCAGAAGATGACGGCCTGGGTGATAGTAACCGTCTCGTACAAGTCAGAGAGGGTATCGAGTTTCCACTCCTCCTTCTCGACAGCGATGTAGAACTGCTTGATACCTTCCAGGGTAAGCTCGTCCTTCTTGACGAGGATACGAACGGGGTCGCGCATGAACTTGGTCGTAACCTCCAGAACGTCCTGGGGCATAGTAGCAGAGAGGAGAACCACCTGGGTGGATTGGGGCAGGAGCTGGAAGATGTCATAGATCTGCTCAGTGAAACCACGCTGGAGGAATAAATGTTAGTAAGAAATTCGCTATACAAACACATGTTGATAAGGACTTACAGAAAGCATCTCGTCGGCCTCGTCGAGCACGAACATCTTCATGCCATCGGTCTTGAGGAATCGTCGCTGGATCATGTCCTGGACACGGCCAGGAGTTCCAACGACGACCTGAGGTCCTTCCTGAAGGGCCTTCATGTCATCGCGAACACTGGTTCCACCAATGCAGGCGTGGCACTCAATGTTCATGAAGTCGCCAATGGCGACAACGACCTTCTGGATCTGCTGAGCCAGCTCACGGGTCGGAGCGAGAATCAGAGCCTGGCACTGCTTCACGTTGGTGTCGATCTTCTGGAGGACAGAGATGGAGAAGGTGGCGGTTTTGCCGGTACCGGACTGGGCCTGGGCGATAACATCATGGCCTGAAAATGTAATTAGTCGTGGAAGCATCTCAGACAATAGTCAGGTCGCGCTTACCCTTGATGACGGGCATGATGGCGCGCTGCTGGATAGCAGACGGACGCTCGAAGCCATAAGCGTAGATGCCTTGACCAAAGTTAGCCTAACCCCTGCGCAGCGCACGGCTGAAATCCAAGCAGTATCTTACCTCGAAGCAACTCAGACTTGAGGTTCATCTCATCGAAAGAGTCGACAGTCTCATCGTAGTTGGACTCGATTTGACCTGCAAAGCGAAGGCGCGGTTAGTTTCGTTGCTTTTCAATTACTGTCATGATGGTCATGATCGCGTTGTCGGTGAGGCCCGCCTGCCTCCCTGGAAGATTTCGCATCGCGGGGCGCAGGCAGGCGCGGGGCAGGGACAACAAGGAGAAATCGAGGGAGAACTTACCCTCGGGGACATCCTCGAGTCCCTTGTCAGTAGCCATGATTGCGATTAAGTTTGTGAGGAATTTCCAGATCTCAAGCCCTGCTTGGATCTAGAAATTTATCGACGAAGACGGAGGTGGGGTTGTCTCGAGAAAAAAAATCGCAACAGCTGTCTCTCAAGAGAAAGCGATGCGAAGACCTCACAGTCGAATTGAAGATAATCGAAGTGAAAACCAGATTCAATGCTCTCACGAAATGGAGAGCAAACAAATCTAGGGGAGTCGGTTTATCTGGTGATGTCTGTTCTGTTTGTTGAAGTGGTGATAGGGAAAAAGAGATTCGCAGGAAAATTTTGGGGAAGTAGCGACCTTTGATATATTGGGCCTGAGGCAATAACCCAATTATTTTTTTTTTTGCCTAGGGCGTGGGTGGCAGCTTCCATTGCTGGAGGCCCCTGGTGGACAGCCTAACAGCTTAGAGGCAAATATGACCCGCCTTAAGGAAAATAGTGGGTCCCTGCAATACACAGAAATGCTTGAGAGCTGAGGCTAGCAGGCCAGTACTCTAGCAGCCACCCAGACACATCATTCATTCACTACAAGAGTCACCCAAATGCAGGCTTTTTAGGTGTGTATCTGCTGCACCTTCGACTCATCCGATGACATTGGAATCCTTTCAAAGCGGCAATTTGGAGTCATCATAGCGTTGGACTAGCTACAACAGACAGGGCCAATATCCGATTAGCAGTGGCTAGCATTTTGTTCGTGTTATACCTACCTAGGTATCTAGGTATCGGAGACATCATCTTAAAGCCGTCATCTCACCTTCCGTGTGTGTTTTTTTGCCGACCAAGGTGTGGCCCCAGGATGCTTCTCTCCGCCACCGAAGAGCCTCACAAGGCCATACAACTCGACGCCAACGGCCATGGGACAGCCACGAGGGAACCAGTGAATGACACATTGGTTGACCAGACGTCCTTTGAGTCATCGACCCCCGCAATCCCATCCCATCCCCTCGGCATCAAACCCCTTGGTAACCAGTATCTCTCAGATGCTGTCAGTGCACGAAAATCTTTAGGGACCTTGCAGGCCCTCCCAGATGAGGTTCTCAGCCAATTATTCGAGTATCTCGACCACAAGACTCTCCGGGTGTTAGGATATACTTGCAAGTTTCTATTTGCGTTTTGTCATTCGGATGAGTTTTGGAAACCACTGTTTCTAGAGTGAGTTGACGCCGAACATTTTCTTCTACCCGACTATTCTGAGCCGTAGCCACTCCTGTTCCTTCTTTCGCCTTAAGAGGAAGTCTAGGCTTATGGAGGGGTAACTCGATTTCTCCTCCACATATCTCATGATGTGCCCTGCAATGTAGAGGCGTTAGACCCAATAGCAAAGACTCGTTGGATTCGTCCTCGTTCTAGTTCTTTCGTTTTCATTCCTCACTTTACACCACGAGTTCCGTTTGTAGCCAACCTGTGGCAATTATTCCAACTTCAAGCCGGGTTCATTCTCAAATACTGTAACTGACATGTAAGTAGGTCGCACACCGAGAAGAAGCGACCTTTCACATGGCAAGGCACCTGGAGATCTACTCTCCTCGAACTGCCTAAAGGAAGGGAGGCCCGTATTGATTGCAGCAATGTGTTCTCCGATGTGTTGCATCGGCCGTTCGTCTGCAGTAACATCTCGCTAGACCAATATTGCAGCAACATTTCGCGGGCAAACGAGATCAAGCGATTCCAGGATCTCAGTTATGAGAATTTCGCGGCTGATTGGGCCGACAAGCCCTTCATTCTTACAGAATGTATCAGGCCTTGGCCTGTTACCAGGTCCTGGAATGTTAGCAAGCTCCTGAAGCTATATCGTGATGTCGAGTTTCGAGCTGAGGCAGTGGACTGGCCGTTTTCGACATATTACGACTACATGCACAGAAACCAGGATGAGAGCCCATTGTATCTGTTTGACCGCAAATTTGTGGAGAAGATGAGCATAACAGTCGGCAAGTCCGACGATGCGGCTTACTGGAAACCAGACTGCTTCGGACCAGACTTGTTCGAGCTGCTCGGAGCTGAACGGCCAGCACATCGATGGCTGATTATCGGACCGGCAAGAAGTGGCTCAACGTTTCACAAGGACCCGAATGGAACCAGTGCCTGGAATGCGGTTATACAAGGGTCCAAATATTGGATCATGTTTCCCCCAACGGTCTCCGTGCCAGGTGTCTATGTGTCTCAAGACAACAGCGAGGTCACCAGCCCACTGAGCATTGCCGAATGGCTGCTCGAATTCCACGAGGAAGCTCGGCAGCTTCCAGAATGCAGAGAAGGTATCTGCAAGGCTGGGGAGATCTTGCATGTGCCGAGTGGCTGGTGGCATCTCGTTGTCAATCTTGAGAGCGGCATTGCGCTCACCCAGAACTTTGTTCCCAATGCACACCTTGCAGAAGTGCTGTCCTTCCTTAAGGACCGAGCAGAGCAAGTGACTGGCTTCAAACGGGAGGTCGTCGATCCTTACACTCTCTTCATGAACCGCCTGAAGCAGCAATATCCAGGATTGCTAGAGGAAGCGCTCAAGGAAGTTGAAAGAAGAAATGGGAGAAAAAAGAGGAGATGGGATATTGCCATAGGCAAAGAAGAAACTGACGGGGCTCAACACGAGAGTACTGGTTTTAGTTTCGGCTTTGGAGGCGGTGATGACGACGAAATCCCATGACGAACTCATGAGCTGAATAGCTCCTGGATGCAGGATGCATGGTCTTCATAGGTAGTCATAATCTCTTAAAGATGCTTCAACAAGGATAGCAATGTCACAGCACTAGCGATTCTAGATGGACCATGAATGACTGCTTAAGCATCTGGAAATTAGGGTAACGGCTTGTAGTAGCCAGTGACATCTTTCGATCTCTTGAAATGCTTCTTATCATCAATGAATAGCAGAAGGAAAACAGCAGCTACTTCATGTAAATTTCTCGTGTATCAGTGGTGGCTTCCAGGTTGTTTAGATGGTAATGAGAGGTACGTACTTCAGCTAACTCAAATTGGGTGTTTAGGTGTAAAGGAGTTAGGCCATCTCAGGCTATCTACTAACGTGCCTCCTAGCTGGGTACCAGGTTAGGATATGGACAAAGAAACCCCTACTAGCGGAGATAGCTGGTGACGGGCCAGTCCCGTTTCGCTGGTGCTCCTAACCCCACGCAGCCACGCCTCAGTTCCTCCCCCCAAACTGAGGAGCGCGGACGAATGCATCACATCACATCAGCACTGCACCAGCATCACCTGGATCCTGGGGCTCCTGCACAGCTGGGTTCGCTTTGTCACAGCTGAAGTGCCTGCCACCAGCCGATCCGCCCGCATTCGACCTACCTGCATCGCTGTAGGTAGGCACTTGAGACTCTGCGACAGACGCCCGGTACGCCCAGGCCAAGCTACGTAGTCATCGACTGCATGGGATATTAAGGCTATCTATCTAATCTTACCTTGCCTTACGAACGAGGCAGTGCGTCCATGCGAGCCTCGAGACATCCTGCCAACCAACACCGCTACAACCACCTCTCGATCCGCCTTGCTCGACCATTTGGCTTTGGCAGCCTGCGTCTCTTCACTTCTCCCACCGAAATCAACTCTTACCATACCGCTGCTTGCGCTAATCCCTGAGCTGCGGGCTCACTGTCGGTCGAGTCGCAGCTGACTGCGCCCGCGTAACTCCTACGACCGACGTGCACCCGACACCATTGCCTTTGTTGTTGAATAATGCGGCTGGCTGTGATACAAGGATGACACCATGCCACTAGGTCATGACCTCTTCTTTCAGCATCCAGAGCCTGCGTTTTTCATCTTTGCGTTGTCTATCGCACTGGACTTCCGATTAGCGACACGTGTGTTTGATTTCACCGCTTGGTGATTCCCCTGCAGGGCGTGCCCTTTGTTTTGTTCACACCCCTCGAACTGCAGCACAATACCTTGTTAGCTACCGTACTTCACCTTGGCTCGCGACCCCAACTCCCGTCCTGGTCCTCAAGGCTGACGCAGCCAGCTTGGTTGTCATCCTTCCGACTGACCGGTCCCTCCCAGTTCGAATTATATCATAATACCCTGAAACGTTTACTTTCGCGAAGCGTGGCCACTACGAGCCGCGATTACTATACCCACATCGGATCCTCTCGCCGCGTGTCGCAAGCATGGTATCTGACGAGACATACGAGATCTGCCTTCCGGTCCTCCAAGACTCGAGTATCGAGGAGGAAGACAAGACGGACAGGCTGGAGGAGCTGCTGAGGAAAGAAACAAGCCTGACTGGTCAGGCCCTCGAAAATGCAGTGTTAGACGCGCTCTGGAGATTCAGGGAAGGAGGGGGAAACGCAACCTCCCCGCCGCCTATACGGCAGACTATCCTTCGACGACCCTCCCCAGCTTCATGGAGGGGCTCTCCTACGCCCCTTTCCGGATCACCACGCCTCGGCATCAGCCCGTTGGCGCCGCCAGGGTTCGTTCCCTCCAGCTTCAGTCGTGCGAAGTCATCAACAGCCTCCCCCTTTGGATCCCCTCGGCCGTCGCCCCGCCTGGCATTTGCTACTCCTGTCATTCCACACAGCCCGAACCTTAATGCTTACGAGTTCGCGAGCGACAACACTCCGTCGCAGGAGATTTTTGGTGATTTGCAGTCGGACAATGTGGACTGGCTCGTGAGTGATGATGCAATCAGCATCTCCTCGTCTGTCGGCACGCCTAGCGGCCTGAATGCTGCGGCGCCAGAGTTCTCCTCGTCGCAGCAAACGGACATGACCCCGTATGACATGCTTCGCTCGATTCTAGGCCAGTCGAGAACCGATGAGGAGATAGATGCCGCACTGGCTATGCATGGCTATGATCTCGGTGCCACTATCAGCTCTATCATGGAGAGTCAAATGCCGGACCCCGCTGCCATAGCTCTTCAGCTCGAGGAGCAAAACATTCTCATTGGCAAGTCCATGACTCCTGAACTTCGACCATCGACACCGGCAGACCAGAAATCTGGCGTGATTTGTAAGTTCTTTTTATCCACGGGCCAATGCGCTCGCGCCGACTGCCGGTTCAGCCATGATCTGAGCAGTCATGTTTGCAAGTAAGTTTCCTGATACTCTTGAGAACGAGACAGTCACTAACATCGCGCGAAGATATTGGATCGCCGGTAACTGCCTGGCAGGGAAGACATGCATTTTCTCACATGATCCCGCCCATCTAATTAACCGTCTCAACGTGGATGGCAGCAGCACGCCACCTACCCAAAAAGTGCAAGCCAATATCCAGATCCAGGATTTCAATAGCTTCCCGGCCCTTGCGCCAGGCACACCAGAGCAGCTGCCCATATTCGCCTCCCCGAATAACTTTCCTGGTGTTGGAATAACACCTCCTCCTGGCTTCAAAGCCCTCCACACGTACGGTGGTGATATCAGTCGTCCTCGGTCTCGACCAGGGAGTCGTCATCAGCAACAGAAGGACTCTAGTCAATCCGCGCCATCTTTGGATGACACCGAAGCTTTCCCAACCTTGGGATCAGCGCCTGCGAAATCTGGCAAGAAGCATCATGGAAAGAGAGGTGGTCACGGCCACGGTCCGAAAGAAACCTTCACCCCAAGCTCATTAGCAGATATCGTGAAGATGTCACCGTCTCCTGGGCCGGGATCATCTCGCCAAGAGACTAGGAAGCTCGGGCGAAATGGAAGCTCCACGAGTGTTCGGAACGGCGAGAACAGTGCTGCTGCCCAGGCGATTCCGAACCCGAAGCACATCCCATGGCTCGAAACTGGTGATAAGGCCAATAAGGCGTATCTTAAGTCCCGTCAGGAAGCTATCAAGCATGGCGGGCTTAGGAATAAATTTCTACAGAGGTTTGTGAATCCAACTTAGCTGACGATCCCTGAGCACCTGCTGACTGGCTTATGAAGTGCGGCACAAGCTTGGAACCGCAATGATGCCCGTGCGGCCAAGGCACTGAGTCTACGTGGCCAGAGCGAGAACGATCTTATGAGGAAGGCACATCGCGAAGCAGCAAAGGAGCTATATGAAGAGCGTAACAAGAACAGCTTGTCAAGTCCAGAGATATATATAGATCTTCATGGTCTTCACCCTGAGGAGGCAGTTGAGTACCTTGAGCGAGTGCTTTTGGAGAACAGCAAGGAGAACAGACCCATATATGCCATCACAGGCACTGGCCATCATAGCAAGAACGGCAAGGACAAGGTGGGCAAGGCGTTGCGGAATTTTCTCAACGAGTGGCGGTATGCGTACCGCGAATTCTCCGTTCCGGGAGATCGCAACAACATGGGTGGGATCCTCGGCATAGACGCTCGGAGCTGGGACAAGTCGCTGACTAGAGATGGCGCGAAGAAGTTAGAGGAGCCGAAGGAAGAGGTCGATATTCTCGACCAGGGCGTCGAGATAGGGGAAGGCAAGGTGAGGCTTTTGGTAAGGGACACCACGGCTGGTAAGGAGCCGCCCAAGGGACCCTCAGGGAATCGAGGTCGATGACAGACTCCCCTACGAAAATAATAATAAACAAATTTCATAAACTTGACTGATCATCTCATGGGGCAATTATAACTTGGTCTATGAATTAGAGTAAATAGATCACCGGGCTTGCCTTAAGGTGGTGGAGGGTCCCCGTTGATGCTCTTGTTAGCGCCAGTCTTATCAGCCCTACATATCAGCTGTCCTGGGCTTGATCGCCGCCTGCTGATGACGTCGCTGAGTGAAGAGTCCAGCGGCACGTCTATTCCAAGACAACTGTGAAACTGTCTCTGTGACTCGCCATTCGTGCAACTCTCCTCACCAGATATCAACCTGCCCAACATTCATTTCTTCCGCAAGACATCACGCCCGCTAAACCTCATCTAGCGCTCGCTCTTTAGGTAGCCACATTGTGTCGGACTCGGAGCTTACCACGCTAGCGGAGCTAAGCTTCACTGCCCCTGTCGTAACCTGTAAGCTCAACTCGTGGCTGAGGCGGCGCTCAAGCCCAGCAAGACCCTTACAGTTTGTACATCCTCAAACATCTCCCCAAGGATCCCGAAACTCGATCTTCTACCTTCACAACCAGACCCCAATGGCTACGAGGAGGTAGCAATTCGATCGATTATTCCATCATAAGCGTACGCTTTCACAATCCGACGCTTCCGCCGCAGTTCCGGCCTCGCTTCGGAGCGACATCAAATCATGCCCGCCGACTACAAGTCCGCAGCAGCGGCTCTGTCCCTATCCCCATCGCCAGTCAATACGCCAACATCACCGCGCCATGGTGACTCCGATGACGAGGACCACGGCGAGTCTTCCCCTGCCCCGCCTTGGGTGCGCACCCGACCCTCCGTCTCCGCCCGCCGACTGTCCACTCGCCCGTTCAACCCGAACCGCAGGGCGTCCTCGACACAGAACCGGTCCTTCGTGACACAACTCATCCGCACCGGCGAGCAGACAACTCGCTGGGCGCTGAAGCTGTTCTACCGCCTCTCGCCGCTGCAGCGCGTGCTCGTGGTCGTCGCCCTGGTGGCGGTCTTCATCCTCTCCATCCTCGCTCTCGTCTACTCGCACAAGATCTTCGGCTGGCTCGGTCCCGTGTCGACCAAGTGGCGCGCGCTGCCCGGCGGGTGGCTGATCGTCTGGTTCCTGACGTTCGGGACGGCGTTCCCGCCCATGATCGGGTACAGCACGGCGTGCACGGTGGCGGGCTTCGTGTACGGGTTCCCGCTGGGGTGGCCGATCGTGGCGACGGCCAGCGTCGCGGGCAGCCTGGCGGCGTTCGTGACGAGCCGCACCGTCTTCAGCGGCTACGTGGACCGGCTGGTCGGGCACGACAAGCGCTTCCAGGCGCTGGGCCACGTCCTGCGGCACGACGGCCTCGTCGTGCTCGCCCTCATCCGCTTCTGCCCCCTGCCCTACAGCCTGAGCAACGGCTTCCTCGCCACCATCCCCAACATCCACCCGGGCGCCTTCGCCCTCGCCACCGCCCTCAGCAGCCCCAAGCTGCTCGTCCACGTCTTCATCGGCAGCCGCCTGGCCCTGCTCGCCGAGAAGGGCGACACCATGAGCGGCGGCGACCGCGCCATCAACTACGTCTCCATGGCCGTCGGCGGGCTCGTAGGCGCCACGGTCGGCTATGTCATCTACCGGCGCACGATGGCGCGGGCGGCCGAGCTGGCGCGCGAGGAGGATCCCGAAGCGGCGGCGGCGGCGGCCCGCGCTGGGCTGCCCGGGGCCGGCGACTATGCGGACAGCGAGGAGGAGGACGCGCGGCTGATGGACCCAAACGACGCAGACGCCGCGGCGCTGATGGACGACGATGACATCTCGCTGTGGGACAACACGGATGGCGTCGAGGGAGGCGGCTATAGAGACAGCTTTACGGATGAGGATGGGACCTCTCAGGGGAAGGCGCAGAGGAAGTAGATGATTGAATGAGTGCTAGAATCATGTACAATGGGATTGTTATTTCAAGGCGTTTCAAAGGCTTCGCATAGAAAAGGGGAAGCAGGAGGTTTGTAGGCTAAGAAGTAGCTTTGGACGACGTATCATAGACGTACACAAGATATAGGAGGCGATGCAAAATTCCCTTGAAAGGAGGGCTAAATGCAACCATACTACTTGAACCATCCATTGTGTCCTATCGTCCGTGGTATCCCCAGCAAGCTCATGACAGTCAATTTCCCCTGTACAATTTACTAAAAGCAAAACGCCATACCCGATGCTGCTTGCCTAACGCCATCGCTTTACAAAATTTCCATCATGATATAACATTCGCCCACTGGAGAACATCACCGTGGGTTCTGAAACTGCTGCATAAACTGGATTGCCTGCTCCATGGGATAGCCAATGAATACCGGGCCATTGAAGACAATCTGGGGAGCACCGCCACCGGTCGTCTTGGACATATCCGCAGCGTTGATAAATGTCGGTTGCGGTGGAGGCGAACTGTAAGGGGGAACCTGCTGCTTTGGAGGAGTAGCGGGCTGGTTCATGACATGATCCTCTGGGATCTGTCGGGGGCTTGGGTCGGGCTCCAGGTGCGGTAGATGGGGAGCTTTCATCCCATTAAGCGGCGTAAGCTTCGTGTGGTCAAAAGGGCATTTTCTAGCAGGTGCAGCTTTTGGTGTCTGCACAGGACCAGGCATCTGCACTGGTGCCGGTGGCGGTGATACAGGCCGCTCGTCTTGCACATCAAATCCCGAGACTCTATCGTAGATGGGCACGGAGATACCCCACGGCCGGCTTGGTGACTCGCCTACTCTGACCTCCTTCAAGGGTCGATCAAAGTGACTCTGACGGTCAAGATCACTGTCCTCACTCTGTGGCACAGGATCCATCTTCTCAGGGTCGTCCGTCGAGTTGGCACTCACTTCCTGAGCCCAGTTTTCAACACGCTCATTCGAGACTTTCTCCACGTCGGCACCGGCTTCAGCTTCTGCTGACGGCAACATCGGAGCATGGAGGTGACTCAGGTCTTGGATCATCGTGGCGAGGTTTCCGTATTTGGCATCTAGCTTTCGTATCTGCTCTTCGTTTCTCTGATATCTGCGGACACAGACCTCATGGCTGCGCGGGATCTGATGTTTGTGTTTCTCGACATAGTTGGCAATCTCTTCTGGCGAGTGCTTGTCAAGGAATCGTATAGGGCATTTGGCAGCGCCATTAGCAGTGGCCTCGCCGGATGCTGATTCTTCGACCATGGCAGCACATATTGGATCGCCTGAATGATCCGGTGTCGCATCTTGGGCATCGCTATCGCCGTTGGGTTGGGCGTCGGCGTCTCCATTCGGTGCGGGCCGGGAGAAGGGGCAGCCCAAGTGGCCCTTCTTGCCCTCGACGGTGAAGTCCTGCTCTAAAACGGTGGACATGGATGTCATGTTGGTGGAGAAGGTCTCTCCAGTCGAGCCGCTGCCCCGGCTGGCATCGGCGAGAGCGGAGAGCTGATGCGCGACTTTGCGGCCCTCGCGGATGAAGATAGCCAGCTCGGCCTGAGCACTGTCGGACTGGCGTCTGCTGGGCAACGGGACGTGAGGAGTGTTGATCAGGGAAGGATGGTGGATGTCGGGAGGAAGTTGCAGCTTGGCCAAGGTCTCGGAGATATCTGGGGCCGCCGGAGCATACTTATCGGCGAGGTATTGGTACTGCGGCGCGCGCGCGTGGGCGCGGAGGTGTCAGCTGAGAGCCGCCTAGAACCAGGATTCGCCGCACCAAAAAGTCCAGAAAGAGAAAGAGGAAAGGATTGGGGGATCAGAGATTTAGAAAAAGATGTCTACATGGCCGCCAGATGGCAGCTCTAGATCTAGAGCTAAGATAAACTCATCATAGGAATCCTCCCGCGCATCAAGAGCGAAAAGGGAGAGAAAGAAACAGGTGACAAAGGGGGATAGATGGCCTGGACATACCTGCTCGTGTGCGAAGCGCAGCTTGTGCTCGAGAATGGTCTTGCGGTCGATCAAACCCTGCACTTCGTCGGCCAGTGCATTGAAAGACTCGACCAGAGTCTGGGCCAGCTGTTGATGATCCATATCATGCCAAGTCATATCATATCATATCAGAGCACCATCTAAGATACGACTGTTGCCAGCAGCGCGGAGTGCGGGTTGGGATTGCTGGTCATTTGGGTGTTTGGAGTCGGAGGGAGTGGCCTCTCTCTCGCTACACCAAAAGCGTTGGTTGCGTGCTCTTTTTCAGTCACGAAGAGAATTTGAAAGTTCCGACCAGGGACGGAATTGGAAGGGTTCCGAGGATCGCTCAGCCAAAAGGTTCTGCCGAGCTCCGGCAGGCGTCGGCTCCAGCACTCCAGCACTCCAGGGCTTCAGACGGCTGACGTATGCCGCCTCTAGCGCCTACGCAGTATGCCTCTGCGGTCAACCTGTAGAAGCGCCTCAGTGTTCTAAAGCTTCAAACATATCTTAGGTTTTCTTTTCTGAACTGTCACCAAGATGTGACTTGTCTGCTCCAATTGCTTTTAGAGCCATACTTGCTTGCTGAATTGGACATGACAGACATAGATCATCGCAAAACAGTGCCACCATGAGCTGAGTATTTCAGTAGGGTCAGTGAAAGTCGTCATTCTACCCAGTAAGTTGTAATGTAACCCACCGTCTCATGCAAGAGAGCTGTGGGAACCTTTGATACCGGCTGTTGCGAAAGAGCATCCAAATCTTGAAGATTGCACAACTAAACTACTCAAACATGTATTCCGGGTAGACAAACATTGAGTAAATCCAACCTTATGGTCTTCCACCACGAGTAACAAATAGACTGGGGCATACCCAGCAGATGATGAATATTTAGCTTGAGCTGAGATCGCCATGGTCGAACAACAATGCGAGGAGGTTGAATTGAATTATCTTTATTGATACTCCCGCGTGCCTGTGCTTTCCACATTTGAATTTGACAATGATAGCCGGTATGCACATCATGTTCAGTAAGGCAGGTAGTCGTCGAATTCCACGACGCGTTGCCGCCAGTAAGCCGGCGGCCGAATAGACGCCTATAGAGTCATAGACACCTAGATATCCTAGCCAGCAACAGTAACTGGCAACTACCACAAGGCAGAGCCAGTTAGGGTGGCTCGGTGGGACGAGCCGCCTTGGTCTACCTACAATATCTACATAGTACCTACCTTTCCTACCTTACCTTGTCCGTAAGGCAACTAGTTAGATATACGAATGCCTTCACAGAATTTCACTTCACACCACATCAAATTAAATCAGACGAATTAGCATGTTTACTATATGACTCAATTTCATATTATTCCCTTTCCTTTAGGGCGTCCACAAAACTCGCTTTTCCAGCAACCCTTCCTGTCTTGAATATAAATATTGCGGTTTCGGCTTGGCTTCCGACAAGTCTTATCTTAGATATCTCTTTGAGAACCCCTCAGTAACCAACAAGCCCGGCTAGAGGCTAGAGAACACCGCTTTAAGCAGTGCCTTTGACGCATCGTGCCGCCTTGTCGAGCTTCTGGCAGGATGGTGAGCATGTACGACCCGTCGCATCACAGCTTCGGTCCTGCTGCCGCGTCAGATGGCATCGAGCCGGCCAGGCTTCTGAGCCATCACACCCACCTGGTTCCAGGTAAGGCTTCATTACAGAGCTAATTGCTCACCTGCACGTCCCACAAAGGAGCTGCTCATCCATTCAGTCCAGTATCCTCCCATTGACACAGAAACATTGCTAAACGGTGCCTAGGCCAACTACTGGTAACAGAATATGCCTTTGAGGTCCCCAAGGACTACAACAATCCCTCTAGTGGGTCCATCAGGCTGTTCGCCCGAAGTGTAACAAAGAGAGAGGTCCCTATCATCCCTCTCTCATCTGCCGACTTCTACCACTATGCCCAGAAACCCTGGTTTGTCTACCTCGAGGGTGGGCCAGGCTTTGGCAACCGCGAGCCCCAGGAGTCGCCAATCACCCGCTTTGTCCTGAATAGGGGCTACCAGATGCTGTTTCTGGACTACCGCGGCACAGGCCTCAGCGCTACCATTACGGCAGACACACTGGAGCTGCAAGGCGGCCCCCAGGAGCAGGCCGATTATCTCAAGCTATTCCGCCAGGACAACAACGTCCGCGATCTGGAAGCTGTTCGGCGCTGTCTGACCGAGGACTACCCCGCCGAGAAGAAGCAGTGGTCCATCTTTGGCCAGTCGTTCGGTGGCTTTGTGTCCCTGACATATCTTTCCAAGTATCCTCAGGGGCTACGGGAGGTGTTCCTGACCGGAGGACTGGCCC